TTAAAGACTTAATATGTAACTCCAGTAAAAAAGACAGCATGGTAGCTGCAAAAGGATGGGCAAATAGATCAGTGGAGCAGAATAGAGAGCTCAGAAACAGACCTACATAAATATATAAATATACTCAACTGATATTTGATAAAGGAGCAAAGGCAATACAGTGAAGCAAAGATAGTCTTTTCAACAAATGAGGCTGGAATAACTGGATATACAATGTTAAAAAAAGAATACAGACACAGGCCTTATATGTTTTACAAAAATTAACCCATTAACCCAAAATGGAGCATAGGACTACAGGTAAAATGCAAAAGTACAAAACTTGTAGAAGAAAACATAAGAGAAAACCTGGATGACTGTGGGTTTGGCTCACAGTTTGTAGATTCAACACAGAGGGTATGTTCTGTGAAAGAAATCATTGATAAGCTGGACTTCATTAAAATGAAAATCTTCAATTTTAACAATATCCACAGAATAAGAAGGCAAGCCACAGAATGGGAGAAAATATTTGCAAAGTTACATCTGATAAAGATCTGTTTTCCAAAATATACAAAGAATTCATATAACTCAATAACTAGAAGATTGAACAATCTGGTTTTAAAATGGGAAAAAGAGCTGAACAGATACCTCAGTAAAGAACTTATATACATGACCAGTGAGCATATGAAAAGATGTTCAACATCATTTTTCTTTAGGGAATTGCAAAAATTGGCTAAACACAAAAGACAAAAGAATTGCAGGAAATGAGGACAAAAAAGCTGTGAAGCATATTTGAAATGAATAGCAAAATGACAGAAGTAAGTCCTTCTTTATCAATAATCACTTTCAATGTAAATGGATTAAGTTCTCCAAGCAAAAGACATTATTGGCAGAATTTACTTAAAACAATGATCCATCTATATGCAGCATACAGCTGATTCACTTGAGATCCAAAGACACAAATAGATTGAAATAAAAGGATGGAAAAGAATTTTCCATCCTTGGAGTAGCAAAAAGAAAGCAGGCATGCCTATATTAATATTAGACAAAACTGATTTTTAATCAGAAAGTTCAGAAAAGTCAAAAGACACTACATATTAATAAAGATTCAATGCAGCAATATATAACAATTATAATCATTTATGCACCTAAAAAAACATCAAAATACATGAAGCAAAAACTAACTGAATTGAAGGGATAGATGGCTCTACAATAATAGTTGGATAATTCAATACCCCGTTCTCAATAATGAATACATCAGACAGAAGTTAAGTAAGGAAACTGAGGACTCAACATATAATCCCACTAGATCTAACAGACATACAGAACACTCCACTCAGTAACTGCATACACATTCTTCTCAAGTGCACATGGGACGTTTTCCAGGACAATATGTTTGGCTAAATATTAAGCCTCAATAGATTTTTTAAAAGTTTTCATATAATATGTCTTGTCAGAACACAGTGGGATAAATTTAGAAATTAATAACGAAGGGAAACTGAAAAATTCAAAAAAATTGTGGAAATTAACAAACTCTCAAACAACCAATGCATGAATGAAGAAGTCACAAGGGAAAGTTAGAAAATTCTTAGAGATGAGTGAAAACAAAAACACATCATACCAAAACTTATGAGATGGAGTGGAAGCAATGTCAAGGGGCAAATTTGTAGCTATAAATGCTTTTATTAAAGCATTTATAAGGTCTCAAATTAGTAACCTATTTTTACAACATAAGGAACTAACAGAAGAATAAAGTAAACCCAAAACTAGAATGAAGGTAATAATATCAAGGCAGAGATAAATGAAATAGATGATAGAAAAACAGTAGAGAAAAAGATCAACAGAATTTTCAAACCTCTAGGTACATAGGCTAAGAAAGAGAAGATTCAAATTATTAAAATCACAAATAAAAGTTGGAGCATCTTTACAGATTATAAAGAAATTAAAAACATTATAAGACAGTGGTTGGAACAGTTGTACACCAACTAGATAACCTAGATGAAATGGGCAAATGCAGAATTTTTTAAAAGCCATCCTAAAATTGATAGAGAAACTCAAGAGACCATGAATAACAAAACTAAAGGACTTACATTTCCTGATTTGTAAATTTGTTGTGATACTGCAGTAATCAAAACAATGTCCTACCAGCATAAAGACTGTTATATAGACCAATGGAAGAGAATAGAGACGTCAGAACTATCCCCTTGCATATGTAGCCAAATATCATTTGACAAGAGTGGCAATACCATTCAATGCAGAAAGGCCGGTCTTCTTAACATATGGTGCTGGGAAAACAAAATATCCACGTGCAAAAGAATGAAATTGGACTCTTACCTAACACCATAAAAAAATAAAATGGATCGAAGACCCTAAATGTAAGACAAATATCTATAAAACTTTTAGAAGAAGACAGAGAGCAGAAGCTTCACAAGATTGGATTCGACAACAATTTCTGGGATATGATACCAAAGTCACAGGCATCAAAAGAAAAAATGTACAAATTGGACTTCATGAAAATAAAAAATTTTGTGCATCTAGAGAAAAACACTGGCCAATCATGGTGGCTCACATCTGTGATCCCAGCACTTTGGAAGGCTGAGGCGGGATGATCATTTGAGGCCAAGAGTTCGAAACCAACTAGTGCAGCGTGATGAGCCTTTGTTTTTTGTAGAGATGGGATCTCCCTATGTTGTCCAGACTCATCATGAACTCCTGGGTTCAAGTGATCCACCCATTTGGCCTCCCCAAAGTGCTTAGATTACAGGCATGAACCACGATGCTTGGCCAAATGACTTCATTTAAAATAGCGTTTAAAGATTTTTTAAAATTATGTTTCTTTTCCAAATATAAACTAAGTATTTGGTTAAACAGAAATCAAAAGGCATTTTCACTTAGATGCAAATGTTATAAATAGTAATTTAATAGATTCCCACATAATCTCCAAAAGTAAATGTAACTCACATTGTGGCTGAAATAATGTATATTTTCAGTGAAGAATTCTGTAACATTATTAAGTGTAAAAAAAGAAGTGTATGTCTTTTTTATTTGCCCTGAATGCTAATGTTTGAGAAAACATAGGTGTCATTAGAGGAGGAGGAAAGTTTCTGAATACATAAAAGCACTCAAAGATTGGTAGCACAGTTTCTTTTTCATGCCAGCTTGTACTTCAAATTATTTATTTTTTTTCCCTAAATCTATCACAAATTCTGCTCAGATAAGGGGATTTAATGAGATGAAGACAGAAAGAATTGGAGAAGAAAGAGAAGAAGAGATGAGAAGAAAGTAGATCCTTTTCAGAAGTGGAAATATGAAATAGAAAAGATAAAATGAAGAGTATATTTTATAAATAAATAGGAGTTAGTGATCTATGGGAGAAAACACAACTATTTAAAATTTACTAATTGCTAAGCATTAAAAGAATTGGATTAAGAGTTGGAAGGTTCAGGGTGTACACTGAACAAGCACCTATAAGACTTGAGCTGTAGACCAGACGTGTATGTATTTATGTGTGTAGGTTCGTATGTGTGATATTTTACATGTTGTAGTTTTGACGTTAGCATTATGCCAAACTATTGAGCAGCATAAACTACATATTGACTATGCAATGTATTAATCACGTAAAACCAAATTTATTGTAGCTCTCTGTTTTCTACTTAATTTTCCAAACCAATATATTTAAGATTATATTCGCTACTTACATTTTTTCCTTATTCGAAAATCAGATATGAAATTGACAATAGTGAAAAACTGAATTTGCCTGGTGTAACTTTCTAGTAGTGTAATGGAAGATTGTCTCTCACATTAGGAGCTCCTGCTTTATTTTTAGACTAGTATTTTAGACCATGTTGGAAAACATAGCTAATAATGGTTTGGGTTCTAACTTTAAAAAGTGTTTTTTTTTTGTCAATAATTTCTTTTTGAATGTCATTTATTAGACAACTATACAGTTTAATACTCTGTACAGATGTGTTTTTTGCCTTAGTATGATTTCCTTATGATAATTTGTTTTTTTCTGGGAAGTTCCATAAATCTTGCAACATGAGATGGCCTTGTTGATGATTTTTCAATATCCTAGACTTACAACCTCACCGTTTACTGTCTGTTCTACAGCACCTTAGAGGAATTTAGAGTTTACATATAGGTTCATAGCATTTTTTGATCTGAATGGAATCTGAGAGAAAATGTAGTTCAGATGCTGTGTTTTAGATACAAGAAATAGAGACCTAAGGTTTAATGCCTGACTCCAACTCACACTCTCTGTGTGGTGCAAAGCTTCGTCAACTTCCTTCTTTACTTAAAGTTCAGCCCAGGACTGCTTCTGCCACACAAATTGTCTGCGTCTCTGGGATTTATTCCAACATCCTCTGTCCTGCTACATAAACAATTTTTATTCAGATAGTTTTCTGCTTCTTTTTACCTCATCCTAACAGTGAGCAGTATCGTTAACCTAGCTTGTATACCTATCTTATACACTTCAGATAGATTTTGCGAGGATTAAGATTCAATGTAAAACCTGAAGCTCCATGACACAGGTCACAACCCTTCTATTGTTGGCCCGTAGTGTTTTGAATTTAAATGTGATGTCTTGAATGAATTACCAGTATTCAAAAATGGATACATTTTACATAAAAATCTGGATAATTTGTTTTTCCTGGGAAGTTCCATAAATCTTGCAACATGAAGTGGCCTTGTTCAGTGAAACTATTAATACAGCTTGTGGAGTTTCTTTTTCACTGTAGTTCCTGTCACTGCTTATGCGTTTCCCAGCCCTTAGCCAAATGTCAGCTGTCGCTCCTTCATTATCGTGTCTCCTACTTTCCTAATTTAAATTAGTGGCCTTGATGTCTGTAGACATTTAAGGGAGTTCAACTGCTGTTCTCTGAAAAGAAAAGTTAAAATTAATAGTACTAGTAAAATGTTTTTCAGGACATAAAGGTAAGGGTTGGGGAAGACAGATATAAAACAATGAGGAAGTTTATAAAATAATAAAAATCACTGATGTTTCTTCAAATTTGTTTTTCAAGGCAAACATGTCCCAGGTAAGGCAAGTGGGATTGCTGGCTGCTGGATGTCAGCCATGGAACAAGGATGTCTGTGCTGCCAGTGGAGACAGGTTTGCGTATTGTGCGACCCTGGCTATCTATATTTATCAGGTAAAATAATAATAATTCTTTTTAATTTGGAATTATATCAGGTAAAATTAATATTTAATTCATACATATGTTAAGTCCTCATACATGAAAAGCATATGCTATAATTTCATTTATATTTATATTTTTTAAGTTTTGCTATTTATATCACATAGGTTTTAAAAGGTAAACTTTTAGAAAAAACATGATTAAATTATAAGTACATTTGATATAAGAAAATTCTCTTATGAGTTGAAGAATGTGGGTAGTCCATTAAAGATCATTATAGTAAAATTAGTACAGATATATTTTGTGATATTATTGAGAGAAAAACTTGTATAATTATTTTTTCATGCCCTAGCTCCATTCAGATATCCCTTATCAGTTCACAATTTATAGAGCCAGTAACCTCCTGAATTTCTTCATATAGAGGTGCCATAAGCATGTTAAATCACAGACCAGTCTTCCTCCTTAAATTCAAAGTCGGCATCTCAGTGACATCAGCTAACCATTCATCTAAACCAGAAATGTCGTAGTTATCTTTCCTCTTCTACTCACATCCATTTCCCCTGATAACCAAGAGTGATTCTAATATGTTATTGATATCTTTCTTATCTGAGCTTTTATAATAATCTCTTCATAGTCTTTACTTTTAGTTTGCCTCCCACTAATTTATTGTTCAGTGTAATCAATTATCAGCAATGCAAATCTAAATTTTCACACTTTCAGTTGCTACTTATTCCTTAATAGTAACATTTAAACTTCATAGTATGGCGTTCTAATTCTTTCGTGATCTTCCTGCCTCTCTCTTACACTCTGTGCCAGATATACCAAACCAACTGCATTTTTCTAAGACATCTCAGGTTTTCATATCTTGCCTTCCTTTACACTAACTTTTCGGTTTGCCTGCATTGCCTGTCTAGAGAACACTTTCTCATCTTTCCAATCTAAAGTCCTGTTATTAACTCTTCCGTATCCTGTTTCCTGCCTCTTTTTTAGTAGTGAAGGACCTCATAAAATTGACTGCCTCTCTAGATGCTTTCAGTTATTAGAAGTGAATCTTTCCCATCGTTTAATTCTCAAATTTTTGCACACTTTCTGGAGCTTAGAAGACATTCGTTAATTGAATGGGTTTAAGGAAAGAATCTTGAAACTCCAACTTATTTCAGCTAAAACTAAAAATAATCTTGTTTTATTCTAGAGTAAAAATTATTTTCATTACTACACATTAGTTCATTACTAATTGTACTCTAGCTTATTGAAAATTTAAGAAATAATAGTGTTAATGTATAAAACAATTCATTTTCCCCAATATAGCATAAGATTTCATGTAGTCCCCATTTCTCACGACTGTAGAAATATCTAGAAACCAAAATGTAACTTCAGTATAATTCACACTTCTTCATTTTCATCCCCTTTATACACAACACAGCAGCAAGACTTTAAAATGCCTCTTTTGTTCTCTCATCTACCTCCATTATACTCTTTACATACTCCCAAGCTTCTCACTCCCAAATTCCTCCTACACAATTTCTCTCCTATGTCACTGTCTTGTCTTTTATTTCTTCCTAAAGAAAGAAAGTTATCAAGCAAATCCAACTATTCTTCCGAGGTAAGGATGGTAAAGAAACTCAGTGAATGAAAGCAGAACTTAATTTTTTCAAGTTTCAATGTCTTAAATTGTGTGATGATATTTGATGATGAATATTTAAAAATATTAAGGTAAAATTATTAATATAAACAATGTACATGAAAGTTGTCATGTCATTAAGAACTGAAACAAACTAAAAATTACCCTAATTTAGAAGTTAATGCAAATAAATTTAGGGAACAGTACATTACAGTGTCCACATAAAACTTTGTTTCAAGGTATGCCAGTAGAAAATTGCATTATTAAATGGTGACATTAACATGAAATTTATGTTAATAAGTATTGTTTTGAATATGATAATCTCAATTAAAGTCCTTTGAAAATTATGCTGATTAAATATAACATGATATAATTATTTTCAGAGGTAATGTTTATTAATTCACACCTATAGCCAATGTGTAGTCAAAGTCTGATAATCTATCACACTCTGGATAATGATACTCAAGTATTAAATTTTTCTGAATGATTATAATGGGAAATGGTATTAGAATTTTTCTTTAACTGTTTATTTGTAATGCACTGATATCTAAAAGTAGAGTAATTTATGGTCGATCTCAATGTAATAGTTCAGTCCAGTATTACTGAATTGTAAATATAATAGGAATGCATTAGTAGATTAATTCCTGTTAATAGTTCAGTATTCTCTAGTGTGCTAACAGATACTAGATAGATAATTCGTATGGTAATATCAGTGTAGGTCACTGATATGCAACATAGTTTCTTTACACATTTACTATATTAATAGATACTTCTACTGAATTTCTAACTTATATAGTATGTTTTTTCTTTTGGATACATTAGATATACTCACAGCATCTACCACAAGTGACTGAATTGCTGAATAATTTAAAACTTCCAAACCTTTTTATTCCTAAATGTATAGAAAACACAAGTATGTATTTAAATAAGTCGACTTAAAATTACTATTGCTGCAGTGCTAATCAGAGGAAAACTCCATTGGTACTGGGTTATATTTAATAATGTTTTCATCCAAAGTTGTCCAAGAATAGCTGAACTTATAGAAAGAGAGAGAAATTACAGAAGAGAAAACCTTAGGAAATTATGTGATTACTCAAACATTTTACATGCAATGTTCACTGCAGCATTATTTGTGGTGGCAAAATTAAATTACTTAAATGCTAAACAGTATCATAAGTGTTTATTCTTTCAATAATATTAACTGAATCTCTTGAATTAACCAAGCGTTACTCTGTACCGTGATTGCGACTATAAAGAAACGAGACAAAGTCTTCTTGTGGAACTTATATTCTTGTAAGGCGTAAGGAAAGGTCATAAGATAAATAAGTAAACAAACAGGTAAATTTTTCAGAAAGAAGTGTGTTCTGCAGAGGTTGCAAAAACAGGTATAATAAGATAGAGCCATGGGATAGGTTCTGGGGAGAGTTATGAACTAGGATAACGTGCTCAGAAAACATCTCTCGGAAGAGATGCATTTAAACTCAGACCTCAGTAGGAGAATGAATAATCACGAGCAAATCAGTGGACAGAGTATTAAAAGGCCAAATGAGCAGCAAGCAGAAGGCCATGAAGTGGAAGTGATTTGCTGTAATAGAGAAACAAGAAGTTCAGAGAAAACAAACAGGAACATGATTCAAATTCCTTTGCAAGATAGCAGAGATTCAATTGTGTAGGGCTTTGAAGGCTGTTTATCAGTTAGGATTTTATTGCAAGTATATGGCTTTAAAAAGTTTAATGTAATAATATTTAATATCGATTTTTAAAACTTAGAATAGCACAGTGAAAGGCTCAGTATATGCTAAAGGGGAAAAAACTACAACAAAAGGGCATAAACAACATATTCCAAAACATGCTAAAAATGACAGAGATTAATTCTCGAATTAATGGAGGCACATTTACAAATGAAATAGAAGAAATTAGGCTGTTTATTTTTTCTGTTAACATATAGAAACACAATATAATGTTCCATTCCCCAAAAAACAATAAAATAAAATGGGTGTATGTTATCATTGCCTTGGAAGCTTTGGACATCTTAATAATATTAAGAATGAGCAGTTGGTTTGTGTAACTCAAATTTTCTTGATTCAAGTATAAGTAAAAAATTGCCAAAAAAAATTCTAAAACCAAGGGTTTTTTCTTCTCATAAATAGATATAGCTATGGAAAATATAATAAAGCTCTGAATCATCATGCATATTTAAATGTGAAACATTGATTTTTACTTATTTTTTAAATGGATGTGTTTTCATTCTCTCAGTTTTTAATGTTTTTTTTTTCAGCTGGTTGAATATTCTTTAATACACTTGAATGTAGACCAAGGCTTGAAATGTGTTCATATCTTTATTATAAGGCGAACTAACTTTCGTGTATGTAGCTTTCATTTTGTGTAATGTGACTATTAATAGTGTATTATCTAAAAAAGGAGCACTAAAATATTTTATTTATATATTTTGTTTTAGTTGGATCACCGTTATAATGAATTCAAACTTCATGCAATTATGTCTGAACATAAAAAAACAATCACAGCAATTTCTTGGTGTCCACATAATCCTGATCTATTTGCAAGTGGCAGTACTGATAATTTAGTGATCATTTGGAATGTTGCAGAACAAAAAGTCATTGCTAAACTCGACAGTACAAAAGGTATAATTATAACTGGGATTTATTTTATGGAATAAAATATTTTTATTTCAGAGAGCACTATTAATATTATTAGTTCAGGTTTTAAAATGGTGTTTTCAAACTTCCTAATGGTAACCTGTATAAGAAATACATTTCACATAATGACTTGTATCCATAGGTACAAAACTAAAACTAAATTTCCTGAAATAATTGTACTTAGAACATATGATCAACTAAAAACATAGCCAATACCAAATAATTTTATTAATGTTTAATTGTAATAAAAAATTTCCAAAATAAATATAAATAAATATAAAAATAATAATCAGAAAGATTTTCTTATTGAGACAGGTAATAAGCCTTGGCCATTCAATACTCTATTCCAACCTTTAAATTACAAAGAACGTATTATGCATATATTTGATGCATTGTTGAGCTGGTTTCATGTCTTTGTTTTTAATTTGGTCAAGGAAGAATGTCCTTATTCACACAAATTGGACTTTATGAATTGGAGTAATAGTATTATACTCTTTCTACTCAGAATGAGGAACTCATATTTAATTTTACTCCATCATAATGGTAAAGTTAAGTAATAATTCTGTGTTCAATGTCACAATAATTAACTCTCTTTTTGAGCACCGTATTTAGTTCAGTTGATTATGGTTTTGAAAGTTATTGCTGGTTATGTTTCAAATCACCTTCTTCTCTAAAAAATAATTGTTATAAATTTGAGATAGAAAACTGAGACATGACAATCTCACTAACCTTATTTTGTTCAAATTTCTTTATAATCTAAGGCAACAATACTGAGAATTTATAGGCAATTATTTTCAAATTTTTCCCATAATAATAAAATAATACTATATTTTGTAACTTTTAGACATATTCAATATATTTAGTATATTGGTTTATCTTTTCAAATTTGGTCATTAAGAGTGCTTAAAATATCAATGTAATACATAAATTTTATTACTCAACTATTAAAGATATTTATCAAATGAAGTTAATTTTCAGCTAGGAAAATAGGATTCTCATTCCCAAGTTCACATATCCTATTTTTTTTATTTTTACTTATAACAACCAATGTATTAGACAGTTTGTTCTAATCTCTGAACAAAACATTGTAAAAGTCAGCTATTCAATGAGCTTCAGTTAATATAATTAACAGCTTTTCTTAAGGCCTTCCATGAGAAAAAAAAAACAAATTACTTTTGATATAATGCTTTGTGGTATGTAAACAGTGATTGATAACTTCAATCAAGACTTTTCATATCTCCCCGTGTTTTCTGGTCATATCTGTTTCTCTATCCATCACAAATCCTATAGATTACTCCATTATTGTTTATATTGATTTATAATGCATTTCCCAGTACTTTAAACCTAGCTTTGTGTGAGATTCATCTTAAATAACACAACAAATCCTTCTTGAAATTCTTTCCATATTTTATATGCCATAAACTAAAAAGATTACATGGTATTATTGTTCTCATAAAGATGTAACACAAAGTCAATATTAGGTTATGACTGCATATAATAAACATAAATTCTAAATGTTTTGCAAAAGTAATGATTAATTTTATTATCACCTAGTATATCCATAGATTTATCATCAAACACTATATACATTAAATCCATTCTTGGGGGAAGATTTTATTTATTCATTAGCTATATATACCATAGTTTCCTTTGTGACTGAATATACAATTAAATAATGCTTTCTAATTAACAGTCCCAGAATGATTAGATAATTGTGGAAATCTTTTGGCAAATTTTTTGTCTTCTTCCTTTCTCTGAAAATTTTCAGCTATCCAAATATCTTCTTAATTTGAAGACTGATATTTTGTTTGCAAAAAATTATGATTAGTTTTGGTGATTTTCATGTTAAACAACTCTTTTGAAAAGTTTTAGGCTCATTTTTCTTTTTGGAATCCTGCTTAAGCAAAGTAGAAATTTGCATTAAGTGAATTTTTTTTTTTCAAGTTTCACATACAGTTGTTGAATTTGATCTTGCCTCTGTGTTTTTACTTCATTCTTCCTTTTTTTCTAATAATCTATCCACTTAAAGGAAAATGCATATAGTTTTTCCAAATATAAGATGTAAAAATTGTCGCCAATTTGAAAAAGTCACACTTTATGTAACATTGGATAATAGTACTACTTACTTAGCTCAGAATATTGTTGGGAGAATTAAATTAGTTGTTATTTGCAGAGCTCTTAGAAATGCTCATACATAAGTCACTATAAAAGTGTTTTACATTATTATTTTTATATGACACTGTTTCTGGTCCCTTCACTTTCCTTGCTGTCTTTCTCTAAATATGTAGTCAGAGAGCCACTATTCTGTTGTCCTTCTACTGTGCTGTGGTAGTTTGATCCATAAAGACTAACTCATCTCTTTTTCGGTAAATTCTACTTCTGTTATTGTATCCTAAAACCACATCAACATTTTAATTGGCCTTTTTCATGTATGGATTCATTCATTTAGCATTGGAGCACATAGTCTGTTGACACAAACTGAACTTACTATCAATCAGTGAATTTCAACTCTGTGTCTTTGTTCACATCATTTTCTTTTCCTGGAAAATACTGCTCATTCCATGTATTTAAACTCTACCCCTCCTTCTAGATATAATTCAAATCCAATTTCAAGGACGGTAGCACAGTGGTTTCTAAACCTTTCTGTATATCAAAATTATTTGAGGAAGCTTGTTAAAAATAAATTTTTTGGCTCAAACTCCACATGATCTGATATGTTATACTTCATTTCTTGATTTTGATGCAGCCAACTAGTATATCAGTGTTGGAAGATGCACAATCTCTCATAAATTTCTCCTAACGCTTATTTTATATATGATTTATTTGATCACAATAGCAGGTTAATTAACAATTAACTTTTATATTCCATCTTATAGACTAAAAGGTACCTTTACATAAATGATTGTATTTCCTTTTCTTTCATGTAAAATAAATGGACAGCTATTTTTAATTGTTATCTCCTTTTAATAGATGAGGAAACAGAAATTTGGAGAAATAAAATGACTTGTTTATTTGAGGCAAGGCTTAGATTTGAATCTAAATTCCTGATAAAACATAGATTATAAAATAAAGTACATTGTTTTTAAATCCTTATAGTAGCATTTATCTTTTTATTCACTAATCCCTATATCTCTAACACATATTTAAATGTCTTTTAAGCAGGAATTTTACCCCACACTACCCCGTGTACCTAGAATGCCTATAGGTCCTACCCACAAATACACAATAAGCATTTATTGCTTTAATCTTTACTATATAGGCTTAAAATAAAAAAGTATACAAATGTATTTGACTCTATGAAGCATATGATCATGTAAGTAGTATTTAACCTAATTAGATATATTTTCTTTCATCATGGACTCTCCATACATATGTTCCCTGCAGTCTTTGGGATTTCTTTGTAAACCTAATTCCCAAATAAGGAAGTAATATATCTTAAAAATAATAAATATGCTCTTGTATTTTGATTTGTTTTAGAAATGTTAACAGTATAAATAATATTTAATGGTATAATCTTGTGCCATGTCTCTTTATTATGTGTCTATATTTAATTTATTCCAGGGATCCCTGCTTCTCTGAACTGGAGCTGGAATGCAGATGATGTGGTGGCATTTGTTTCCCACAGAGGCCCGCTGTTCATTTGGACCATCTCAGGACCAGACAGTGGAGTGACTGTACACAAAGAAGCTCATAGCTTCTTGTCTGACATCTGTATATTCAGATGGCATACACACAAAAAGGGGAAAGTTGCGTTTGGTCATATTGATGGAAGTCTGTCGATTTTTCAGCCAGGTGAGAATTTAATTAGTACAGTATCTTTAAAAAGTACGTTTTTCTTATATATAATTTTGTACTTACTTGCTCTTTCCAGTGACCAGTCCCCATTGTAAATAAAGCCAAAAGTGATGAAATTTTACTTTTGATATTATTATTATTGTGAAAATGTCATCCAGTATTGTACTGAGTCTAAATATTCATTTGAAGTAAGATGTATATATATTATAATACATTCAACATAGCTCTGCAGATTTTACTTGGAATTAACCTAAATCAGTCATTTATCCCATATTTGTATTTTAAAGTCAATTCTTTATTTCTGTACATTTACTAAAAAACAGCCTGAATGAAGAAGGACATAGAGCAAGAGTGTATGATGGTTTATTAATACTAATCCTAAATGTTATCCCACCTGCTTTTAAAAATACCATTCTAATGCCATGGCTCCTTGGCAAAGGCTTTGAAACTGGCATAAAAGAAAAGTGATAACCCTTCGAGCCCCTATTAGTTAATTAATTTGGCTGAATGAAAGGGTCTGAGAAATTAGATTATGTTCACTTACAAAAGTCTGATTAAAAATTAAAAATTACCTGAATTGCTTGCTTTCCCCTCAAAAATAAGTATTTTTAACATTTGGGAAACATGCTTTTAGCTATCGGGTATCTCTGTTGATATATGTGACTTCTGGCTGGCTAGATGGATGAATGAAGTGCTTTCTCAGGAACAGGATAACTACTTTCACAAAACAAATTGAATTTAATTTATCTGAAATTAATAGAAAAAAGATACTGAAATCGAACACATGACATTGTGAAAATTTACACAGATCTTTCTTCAGGAAGTAATGTTTCTAAAGTTAAAAAGGATTGTGTAAAAACATGAATACATTGAGGCCATTATATTCTAAATACATTTTAAACAGGATCTATTATTTACTTTTAAAGAAAGAAGAAAATAAATGTTCATATACTTCTTCTCCAGCCTCTCTCTCAGTTCTTTGTACATGTCCTCTGTTGTTCTGTCTGGTTGTACCAGGTTAACATGGGGGCAGCCTCATCGGTTTGTCGAAGGTTAGCATGAGGAAGGATCAATGACTGGTGCTTCTTCTGGATTTGTTGTACCAAGCACCTGCACTCCTAGTTCATCTGCTCTATCCTCTGCATTGGAAGCAGATTCTGTTTTATAGTTGGTCATTAAGGCTCGTAGTTAAGCAATGGAATTCATAGCTTTCTTTGTTTTGATTTGGTGAATACCACTTCTTTCTCTGTAACCTTTATCTCCGGCCGTCTTCCTTAGTTTCTGGAATGTAATCTATAATAAATATGTATGCTGTGTGGTTCCTGCTCTTACCTCTCTGGATTATGTAACCAGATCTCATTAGTGATGTTCCTCCACATCTTCCCTGGCCTGCACTCAGAGATTTCATCAGGATTCTGACACTTTTCAAGCTAGATCTAAAGAAGATATGAGGAGTGTGTTTTTATTTTACTCTAAACTGCACTCTAGATATTTGTATATTTTATGATTTGCCTTTTTTACCCTCTCCTTTATCGCTGACCAAGGTTGTCTTTTTTCTTGATTTATTATTATTAGGTGTCTTTGAAAGTTTCAAGCCATAGGACATTGAGACGTTGTATTATGTATCTAAAATATAAAACATTGAGACAGTGTATGCTTATTTTGACATAGAACCAAACAGGAAAAAAAAGGTTTCCTTTGTTTTCTCTATCTTAGATTTAGAGGATGGAATGATTAATATTTGAACAGTCTGAGCTATGTGGCTTCCAGTAGAGACCATTGTTTTTCAATAACCCAATCTTCCAGTTGTTAAACCAAGTAACTGGGGCATCTATACACAAGTTAGCAAGTGTTATTTTTCTGTTCAACCCATATATTGGTTTATTAGAGCTGATGTAAGAAAAGTATCACAAACAAGATAGCTTAGAACATAAATTTTATTATCTCACAATTCTTGAGGACAGAAGTATAAAATAAGGTGTAAAGAGGGCCACGTTCCCCCTGAAGGCACTAAGGAAGGGACTTTTCCAGGCCTCTCTCCTGGCTTCCTGTCCTTGGCTTGTGGCAATATAACTGCAGTCTTCACATGGCACATGGCTTCCCTGCTGTGTGCTGCATGTCTCTGTGACAAAATTTTCCCTTTTTATAAAGACGTAGTCATATTGGATTAGGCTGTACCCTAAGGACCTCGTCTTAACTTGGTCATCTGCAACAGCCCTAATTCCAAATAAGATTACATTTGCAGATAACTAGGGGTGAGGAATTTAATGCCTTTTTTGAGGGAGCACAGTTCAACCCATAACAACCCAATATAGACTTGATAACCCCATTTATTCTGTAGGATTTATTTAGCAATTAATATGCACAAACATTATGAAAGGTACAATCCTGCTGGGTATTTCCCTTTTGTATATACATTAACTAATGGATCATGAAGGAAACACTACCTTTTAATTCTAACATTACATTCTGGATTGTGAGTTGGAAACTGTCAGCATTAGTACCAGTATAGCTAGGCTTCTTACTATTGATGAGTTGTTAACCTTATCTACTTAATGACTTACTGGCACCACAGTTAGTTCCATCCCGATGTTACAACATAGGATTTCTATTCTCCAGGTTCTTGCAGGAAACTGAGCTCACGATCTCTGTTGTCTAGTCCTTCTCGGAAGAAGAAATAAACGTTCATGGACAATTGGGCACAATAATGTAGTTCGTCATTTTAAGTCAGTAATTTTTAAACTGAGCTCTGTATGTTTGTATACTTAAGTGTGGGTACTGAGGGTATGAGGGCTTCATCAATGAGCCAGCTGAGCTTTAAGCTATCTTCTTTTCAGCCTGAAAAGCACCATGTTATCCGGTATTATTTACTGGATTTTCTTGTAAATATTATTGTATGAACAGAGGACTCCAGGGCAAAACAGTAGAAAACTGCTTTAGTTATCTCAAATTGTATTCCTAGGCCAAGTTCATCAGAGAACCTTTTTAAAAATCTTTATTATAAGCATGTTTAAATTGAACTGATTTTGGTGTTACTCCATAACCTTAATAAAAATATGCCTTGTTTTATTGTAGGAATGTTGTTGATGACACTGTCTTTATATAACTGTTACTTAGTGGAAAAAACAGACTCAGTTTCTGCTACTCTACTCTCATAGCACACTTACGACACTAGATGTTTGAGAGGTTTTCTCCGTACATTAAGCAAACGGCCACCTCTACAGCCGACTCTCGCTGGGCGTCCTCCAGTTCAATCCCGACACTACCTACCTGGAGACAGAGTCAGATCATACGCATTGAGGGATCTGTCCCCATGACTGTCCCCTCTTCTGATGCCAGTTGTTGGCCTTTGCCTGTGCTTCTGAATGGCTGGCTATAATCAAGGTTCCCATGGGTGGCCCCCTCATTGGATTTGAATGGTTTGCTCCTGTGGCTCACAGAACTCAGGAAAACATTTTCTTACCTTATTATAAAGGATATTACAAAGGATACAAATGAAAAGATGAATAGGGCAAGGCATATAGGAAAAGACATGGGGCTTCCATGCTGTCTTCAATCATGCTGCCCCCCAGGAGCCTCCATATGCTCAGCTCTCTGGAAACTCCCAAATTCTTGTTTCTTTAGGGTTTTCATAGATGCTTTATTACATAGGCATATTGATTAAAATGTTGGCCCTTGCCAATCAGCCTAACCTTCAGTCCCTCTTCCCTCTCTGGACATTGGGGAATGAGGCTGAAGGTCCCAACTCTCTCATCAAGCCTTGGTCTTTCCCGTGACCAGTCATGTTAGGAAGCCACCGAGTGGCCACCAGCTTCCTAGTCTACTCACTATCACACAAAATGACGCTGCAGAGAGTCCAAGGATTTGAGGAGTTGTAATACCAGGAAATAGAGGTGAAAACCAAACATATATTTCACAATATTATAGTCTCCCTTTTAAAAGCACACAGGATACATTTATTTCTGGTCTCAATTCTGTAATTTTAAATCATTTTAAATGACATGGGATTGCAGCAAAAGTTGTGTTATCTTTCAATTGTGCTTTTTAAAAAAGACACACTTCCTTTATGATACTTAGGACTAATTGGTACTTTCTGGTAAGGCTATAGTCTCTCTAACTAGCTGCTGCGCTGCCTCTCTTGAGAATGAGGAGTTACCCAGTGGAGTTCCAACGTAGCATCTCAGCAGAATGATTTTTTTTTTCCCTATTTCCACTTGTGCACATAAATTACAAAGAACAAGAAGTTTGTTTGATGATCCTTTGCTTCATTTAATTAGACTTGTTTTAACTCCATATCTTTCTGGCTTCCCTATTTGTACTGGTAGATGGCAAATGATAAGATGAATGAGAAAGCAATAACAGTAAATAGTAATGTGCTGTTTATAATGTATACCACTATTCTAAACATTTTAATCAAATTCATTTAATCGTTTTTAAAACTCAGTGAGGTAAGCATTATTATAGTCTCCATTATTTAAAAAAAAAAAATCACAAAACGGAGGCCCAGGGAGATAAAGTATCTTGTCTGAGACAGCAAAGCTACTAAGAAGTAGAAGTAGGATTGGACCCAGGCAGTCAGCCAGCTCTAACATTTATCCTTTTAAATCACTGTATGATATTTTTTATTTCAATAAGCATTTTCTATATTCTGTGCTGCTGTGACCCAGTGAAATTTGTAATTGTTGACAAGACCTGAGTATATTATTCATCTGCATATTTTCTTATCGCTTTCCAGTAACAAATGGGAGAAACATTCAAGGCACTGGAAATTGTCAAAGCAGAGCATCGCATCTGACTTTCATCATTAGGACAAATTATTCTACATTCACTTGTCAGTTATACCTTCTGCATAGAAATGCCACATCTATATTTTCAATACCCTCAGAGATAGATATTGTACAAGGAAAAAGTTAACATGTTCAAAATTATTGATCTTTTTTTTGCAAGATTTTTGGAAATAATTCTCTCTATATTTTAATAGGTAATAAAAATCAGAAGCATGTTTTGAGACCTGAATCCCTTGAAGGGACAGATGAAGAGGATCCAGTTATGGCTTTGGAATGGGACCCACTATCTACTGATTATCTTCTAGTAGTTAATTTGCATTATGGAATTCGCCTGGTAGATTCCGAATCACTTTCTTGCATAACAACATTTCATCTTCCCAGTGCTGCAGCTTCTGTACAGTGCTTAGCCTGGGTTCCCAGTGCTCCTGGGATGTTTGTAACTGGAGGTAAGCTAATCTCCTTCCCCTAGGGTTTTAAATATGTGTATACATCCTTTCACTGAATTTAGGAAATTGTCCTTTATAGGTTGAGTTTGTGTAAAATGTATTAATAGCTCAATTATTATCATTTATTATAGTAAATGACTAGTGCACTTTTATTTTTATTGTATGTCATTAATGATAAAGAAAATGAAATGAAAATTAAGGCCCACTCTTCCAGGTTTCTGGGAATATCTTGGAATATAGTATATATGTACACACATGTGAGCGTGTCTGTGTGTGTGTAAAAGACAAAGACAGTTCAGTTTCAAGCATAGTAGGATGACATTGAAGGTACTGACCAGGAAAACAATTAGCTGATGGGAGCTTTATTAGCTTCACTGTCTTAGTCTATTTTGTGTTGCTGTAACAGAATACCACAGAATATTCTGCTATAACAGAATGCTACAAGCTGAGTAATCTATAAACATTATAGTTTATAGCAATCTAAACTATAAACTAGTTTAGATTAGTTTAAGGCATATATAAGGAGGCTGGGATCCCCAAGAGCATGGCACAGGCATCTAAAGAGGAACTTTGTGCTGCTGAAACCAAGAGAAGCCAAGAGCATGAAAGCAAAAGGGGACCTAGCTCGCTATTGTAACAAAGCCACACTCAAAATAAATAACCCATTCCAGGCCATGCACGGTGGCTCACACCTGTAATGCCAGCACTTTGGGAGGCCGAGGCAGGCAAATCACCTGAGGTTGGGAGTTCAAGACCAGCCTGACCAACATGGAGAAACCCTGTCTCTACTAAAAATACAAAATTAGCTGGGCATGGTGGCGGGCATCTGTAATCTCAGCTACTTCTGAGGCTGAGACAGGAGAATTGCTTGAACCCAGGAGGCGAAGGTTGCGGTGAGCTGAGATCACGCCATTGATTCCAGCCTGGGTAACGAGCAAAACTGTTAACAACAACAACAACAACAACAACAAAACACTCCTACACTGTCTATATTAATGCATTCATAAGAGTAGAGTCCGAATGACCTGATTGTCTCTGATTAGATGCCATCTTCTAACTATGTTATATTGGGAATTATGTTTCTAATATGTGAATTTTGTGGGAGGCATTCAAACTATAGCACTCACTGTCCATGAGCTAAAAGGATACCCCTTCATGGTTTCCTACTCATGAGTGAATTAGTAAAGATAAGTAGTGATAGGTGATAGGAAGATGAGGGAATTGAGGACTAGTAACTAGAAATTAAATGACTCTCTACTTTTACCATTTAATTGTGTTCAGAGAAAGAGACCACTGAAGAGACAGAATATTTTCAGCTACCATATAAATACTTCCCATATTTGCTTAGTGTAAAATAATAGACAAAGTTTCTTTATCCTCTCAAAATTTTAAAATCTTTACTTCTTTAATACATAACACTGACGCCACTCCATGGATTGAATCAACTGCTGTGAATGATAAATGTTAGGGGAAAAAAAAAATCCACAAAATTTTCCACAAAATTTCCAGAAGCAAAACTTGACTTTGCAGTGTGACAAGTACTACGTTGAATCCATGTAAATAATGTGATGTGTAGGCATTGTTTTACTTATAATAAGTGATATGGCTCGACTGTATCTCCACCCAAAATCTCATCTTGAATTGTAATTGCCACAATCCCCACTGTCAATGGTGGACTCAGGTGGAGCTAATTGGATCATGGGGGCCACAGTTTCCCCCATGCTGTTCTCGTGATAATGAGTGAGTCTCACGAGATCTGATGGTTTTGTAAGTGTCTGGCATTTCTCCTGCTTGCACTCACTCCATTCCACTACCCTGTGAAGAAGGTGCCTGCTTCTCCTTTGCCTTCCACCATGATTGTAAATTTCCTGAGGCCTCCCCAGACATGCAGAACTGAGAGCCAGTTAAACCTCTTTTCTTTATAAATTACCCAGTCACAGGTATTTATTTCTAGCAGTGTGAGAACAGATTAATACAACAAGTAATTTGGAAATGATTTAAAGTATAATATATGCAAATATTATGCCACTTTATGTAAGAGACTTGAGCATTGATGGATTTTTTTATCCATGGAAGATACTAGAACCAATCTCCCACAAATAACAAGGGGCAACTGTACATGAAAGTAGATAGAATCTTAATTTGTATATCTTAATTGCCTTTAAATTTTCAGGATGTAATTAGTAATAGGCATGAATTTTTTTTTTTTGAGACAGTATCTTGCTCTGTCACGCAGTCTGCAGTGAACTGATGCAATCTTGGCTCACTGCAACCTCCACCTTCCAGGTTCAAGTGATTCTCCTGCTTCAGCCTCCCAAGTAGCTGAGATTTCAGACACATGCCATCACACGTGGCTAATTTTTCTATTTTTAGTAGAGACAAGAGTTTTACCATGTTGGCCGGGCTGGTCTCATACCCTAACCTCAAATGGTCCACCCGCCTCAGCCTCCTAAAGTGCTGGGATTACAGACGTAAGCCATCATGCGCAGCCCAATAGGCATGGAACTTTTTAATGTCTGTTATTACCATTACTGCAATATCCTTCACATATAAAATTCACCATTTTTAAAGCATGCAGTTCAGTGGTTTCTAGTATATTCACAAAGCTGTACAGTTATTACCACTGTAAAATTAAAAATCATGTCATTATTCCTCAAGCAAACCCTGTTCTCACCAGCAGTTACTCTTCATTACTCCCTCCCCACAGTCCATGATACACACATGTGCAAACATCAGCTGCTAATTACTTTTTATCTCTGTGGACTTGCCTTTTCTGGACATTTCATATAAATGGAAACATTCAATCTGTGGCCTTTTGTTTCTGGCTTCTTTCATTTAACATAAAGTTTTCAAGGTTCAACCTTGTAGCATGTATCAGTACTTCATTCCTTTTTATGGCTGAATAATATGTCATTATATGGATATGGCAGGTTTTGTTTATCCATTCATCTGTTGATAGACATATATATTGTTTCCACCATTTTACTGTTATAGATAATGCTGCTATGAACGTGTATGTGCAAGTTTTGGTGTGGACTTTTGCTTATAATTCTGTTGAGTGTATGTCAAGGAGTGGAATTGCTGAGTCATATGGTAATTCTATGTTTAATCATTTGGGGAACTGCCAGACTATTCTCCAAAACAGGAATTAAGGTGGGAATTTTGGAAGAAAGGAGACTATCTAATTGGCCTTCAGGTATATTTGACAGTCCTTAATGACTGAAAGTGGACAGTGGAACAGTTTATAAACATTTCAAAGCTGGAAGGATTGATTATTTAAAGTTAGAGATGGCTTGCCATTTCCTAGAACAAGCATGTGTCAATAGGGTCCTTTTTTTTTGCTGTTGAGTTATTACAATGGTCTTCATAGGAGGAAGGTGCCAAGACAGGCAGTTTCTAGCCCTATAAAAGGTTTTGGAGAAAAAAAAAATAGTTAAACATGCCAAAAATTTAACGGTTAAATAGTATTTCAGCTGTTTGGTTGTATTACTGTATGGTATTGTTATTCAAAGGATGTCAATAATTAGTTCTAAAAATATTTCCAGTTGAAGTTTTATTACTTTATGTCTAGACATTTTAGTTCCATACAAAATTTGTTATAATACGCTTTGTCCCTAATCTGACTAGATTCTCAAGTGGGTGTTTTACGCATTTGGAATGTTTCAAGAACAACACCTATTGATAATCTGAAATTAAAGAAAACAGGATTTCACTGCTTACATGTGCTTAATTCTCCTCCAAGAAAAAAATGTAAGTAAAAATATGATCAAAATTTTAATTTTTAAAAAATATTGTATTTTCTATCAAATAAAATGATATAGTATTATATCCAATACTACATGCTACTGAAAAGCAATTTTTAAAAATAGGCTTTGATAATACATGTGCAGAAGGAACCATCAGAGCTGCATAAGATCTACTATTACTAAAATGAAAATATGTAGAGCCAAGTTACATTTGTATAAGGCTATTAAATAAGAATATTTAGATAATTTCAGATTATCTACATGAAAAAGATGAATCAATGATATTGATGAAAATAAGTTAGAAATATTAAGAGTATAGAATTAAAGAGAATTATCTGAACTGGGAGAATTTATGTTTTACACATGGCTCATTTAAAATCTGTACAGTTTATAAGAAACTTAAAACCTAAATATACAAATTATAGGATCTAGAATATATATTACATGTTTGAATACCAGTCATCACTGAATTAGTTGTAGTATTACAGATCTTCTGTGTCTTCTTTGTTTCTGTGTATATTTTCTGCATCATTCATTACCTCTGTAATTAAGAAAAAAATACACTTAATTCATGAAAGGAAAAGATCTGGAAATTTGGGGAAGGTTTAGAATTAGAATTTTTCCCAAATATAAGGGGAAGGAAATAGACTTCCAGTAACATCCATCATGGTTACTCTGCATGTTTGGTACTGTTCCCATTTTGTATAATGTATCGTAAAAAACATGGGGTAGGGAATTCAGTGAAAAATCTAGAGCGATTGTTTCCTTCTTACTCATTGCTGACCACCTTTATAATATACTAAGTAATCAATGGCTATTCAAAGTAAGTTATTTTGGTGTCTAATTGGTAGGCAATAGCAAGTGGTAGAAAACTTCTGTATTTGAACCTATATCCCTTCTACAAAATTGTGATGTCCCTAATCAGTCTAGAGCCTGGAAACCAGAACGTCTAGAAATATTAGAACTGGAGAAGTAACATGCTGGCTGCTGGCTTATTGTTTAGGTGTCCTGCAATTTTTTTGTCATTATTAATTACTTTATTTGTTCAGAGGCTTTGAACTGCCATGCCATGGAATATCTGTATTTTTCTTCTTATTACAAAAGTAGCCTGTGTTCGTTAGACAAAATCAGAAAATATAAAGAATAACATACCAGTCTTGTCATTTTTGAGCAGTGCCTTTCATATTACCTCTTGTTTGATGTCTAGGATTTTCCCTCAGTTTTTTAACATAACAGAAAGTATGGAAGAAGAACGGTTGTGAAAATGAAATTTTTAAAAAGTAAACACACTCACTGAATTCCGAAGGCGTGATTTACAAATAGATTGGTGCATAAAAGTTTTCTAATCCACATATAATGTCAATTAATTGAAGTGTTAGAAAAACCAATGATGGATTATATTAATTTTAAACAAAAGATCAACAAAATTTCAATGAACCAAATTCATTGCTACCAAATGCCTCTTTTGTTATTTGTAGTTCATTCTAGTTTGGACTTTCTGTAATTCTCAGATTCTGAGAAATGAGTAGTATCCATAATAAATAAGAAAAATTATATTTTAATTTAAAAAATACTGAGAAATATTTTCCATATTCCAGTGTATAATTAATAGTAGATTGGTCTCATAATTTACTGTAGTATCATTATTTTGAATTATGTTTGCAAGAAAATATTTGCATTCACATTTTAAAGAAAAGCTTTTTGAGAGAAGACAAAATACGGGATAAATAATATATAAAAATAAACGTGGTGACATTTATGTAATTGAAAGTAGGTGAAATCAAAGTTTTAGAACAGTAAAAAAACAAAAACAAACAAACAAAAAACACCTAGGAAGAAGAAAGAAAATTGAGATGCCAATGCAGATCAGACAGTGTTGTGATTCTTAATTTATGCTAAATTAAAATGAATTATGCATAATCTCAAAGTAATTATTTTCATTGCCTTGAAAATTATTGGCAGAGAGTTATTTGTTTTAAAAGAAAAAAAATATATGCCTTTATGTTTGTGTGTGTGGAAGAATGGAATAAGCTATTACATCAGTATTTTGAAGGAAGTTTATCATTTAGAAATAATCATGCTGTGCTTAAATTCATTGGATGATAAGAAACCACACATTTACAACAGATTGTGATTCCTCAACACACTAATTTTCATCTATTTATTCCATCTGTACTTTAAAATAATATCCAACTTTGTGCTTATATTACCATATTTTTTGGCAATGCCAAAGAAATGCTCATGTGGTAGAAAATATGATCATTGCCTAAAGGGTTTACTGGTACTGATTCTGTTTTTTTTTTTTTTTTTTTAATTAAGAATCTTTCTGAATTAAGCTTTGTGGTTTTATTCCAATGGAAATGTTTATTTTTTTTCCTTGTATTTTAGTTTCAGTTCAATCTCCAGCCAAAAATCATTATACGTCCTCAACAAGTGAAGCAGTTCCACCCCCAACTTTGACACACAATCAAGCATTTTCTCTTCCTCCTGGTCATGCAGTGTGTTGTTTCTTGGATGGTGGAGTTGGACTTTATGATATGGGAGCTAAGAAGTGGGACTTTCTTAGAGACTTGGTATGTATGCAGTCATTCCTTTATTACACATAACACTTTTTTGTATAAACACATAATCTTTACTTTTACCTGTGTCTTAATATTATTGGAAATTATTTTTGTGAGTAATAATATATTATAAATTTATTGTGTCTGGTTTAAACATTTTAGAAAATGCATAGAATGATGATAAAAACTATTAAAAATAGCTTTTAACCACTGTATTTTTAAAATCTTAATGTCTACTTACAGTTTATGTACAATGGAAAATTACATAACTGTAGTGTATTTTGGAAGGTTGAGAATAGAATATCCTTTCAAGAGAAGGGACATGTTGATCTCTGCCAGTTATTCAAAGCTTTATCATTTTCATTTGTTAATTGATTGAGGTTGGATTATGTTTTCTAAGATTTGTTTCTATTGTTGAATCATTATGATATTTATTTGATTCTATGAATTCTGTTTTTATGATAATTAAGCCCCTATTTCAGATAAAATACAATCTCCTTGAGATCCCACATTTTTGTCTGGTTTTGTTCTGTGATGTATACCCACTGCCTAATATAGCATCTGCCACATAGCAAGACTATTAAATTTTGTTGAATGAATGAACAAAGACATGTAATAATATGTATTGTGTTGTAATTAGTATTTGTCAAAAACCATCCTCTTTAATTTTCTCTACTTTAGAGTTTCTAAAAATGCCCCTGTCTTTTTCCACTGGTTTGAATTAGACTAATCTAGACATATAAGAAACTTTTAAATGCTAATTATTTTCCTTTGATCGTAGCAAAAGAATCTAGAGCTATAATTGTCCTTGAAAAAGAAGGGAGAGAAAGAATCAGTAACATTTTATCTTTTCAAGACTGCTCATTTAATTTTGTCCTGAAATGAAAAATTGATTTATAGCAAAAATATTTTAAAAACAATCTGTAGCTTAGTCATTTTTATATTTTCCTTTTGTAGATATTCATTAGAGGATGATTTAATTTTCTTTTCACTTTAACTTTCTTTTTATATAAACTCTTTCCTAGTGTGGTAAATTTTTTCTATACTTCAGGTTATCATTTATTTTCAAACAAATTTATGAAAGGGAAGGGAGAAAAATGTAAGAATACATTTAAATCTATAAAAAGTTATAAAGTAGAAGTCATACAATCTAAATTCAGTAAATGTTAAACTTCATATTAAAGTATGTTTTACTTAAAATTTGTTACTTTATAATTCTAACAAATGCTGAATACTAAATACTAAAAGCTACTTGATTGTAAATTATTTCAGTTGAATTTCTCACTTTAAAATGTCTGCCAGTCAGAAGGAAACAGTCATTTTTTCCTTACAGTTTCTATGATTTTAATACAGACCCAAATTTGAAATTTCTAAAAATATTACTAGAAGAAACAACTCTGAATTGCTATATGTATAAAGCATCTCCAAGATTTCAGATTACATAGAATAAGAAAAATCTTAATATTTTTAAAAATCTTATATAATTAAAAAGTCTTAATAAACATTCTAAAAAGTATACTTTCATATGAATGTTTGCTTCGTTAAAATTAAGAAAAATGCCACAAAATTTTCCTTTTCATCACCACCTTCCTCTCGGTAAGAAAAAAAACACAGAAAGTTTATAATTTCATTCTTGCTATGTGAATTTTTAGGTTTCAAAAAATAAAATTTGAAGGCACAGCAGTGAAATAACATTTAAAACTGCATGTAAGTTCCTGCCTTGATTATGTCCTAACACTGGAAATGACCATCTGGAACAGCTCCAGCCAGGTGAACCAGTGCCTCTAACAACATTTTTCCTTCTTGCTAAAGGAGAAACTTTATAGCACTTTTGCAGTTTTCTAAGCGTTGTGATTTCTGTTATTCATGGAAGTACCCAGAGTTTTAAGGACTTCCTTCTCCACCCTTATTCTATTAGCTGAGGACTAGAAAACTCTGTCTTTGAACTTCACATATGTCTCTAGATCCCAGATGTTCATTTCCTTAGCTTAAAGTGGAAATTCCAATTCCCATTCCTCAGTATTTTGAATGGTTGTATTTCTGGCTATTTAGGTTGGACTCTTAATGGGTTTTCCCAAAGGTTCACAGTAGTTAAGCCCTACTTTATGGGTATATGTTTAGATGTATCTGCATATGCCACTTTATAGTCTTGTGGGTGTTTGGGATCCAGATCATTGTGTAATGGGAACAAGTATTCAGGTTCCAAAGAATAAACTTGCAAGAAAATTTTGGAACAAGGCTCACTAAAAAGTGAGGTCATTCCTGATTCTTCTGTTTCTGCCAAAATTATGAGGTGCATTTGGAGTATGTCATTAGTATAAAAAAAGAATATTTGCATTAAATGACTTTTAGTTTTAGTTTCATCTTGGTCTTCTATTATACTCCCAGATGACATATGGTAACATATTAAGAGCTAATTGCTTTATGGATTTCTAGCATAGTATTCTGTATGTTTAATAAAAATAGAAAGTATCTTTTGCACTGAATTGAAATTGAAAAATGAGACCTCTGAACATCTTTGAGTTTAGTTGCTGATTTGAGGAACCATGGTTGACTAAAATCTAGGTCTGTACAAAATAATACAATAATGGCACAGAGAACATTCAATCACTGGAGTAATTCCAATTTTCTGGTTTTTACCTACCTATGTATTTTTGCATTAATATTTGGAAAGCCATAGTACATTTTTCAATTTGAGTATACATTGTGGTTCATCTATTAGTAATGTAAATTTTTCTCAATAATTATGACTTTTTTATGCCACATTGCTAGGGACATGTGGAAACTATCTTTGACTGCAAATTCAAACCTGATGATCCTAATCTTTTAGCAACAGCTTCATTTGATGGCACGATAAAAGTGTGGGATATAAACACCTTAACAGCAGTGTACACATCCCCGGGTAATGAAGGTGTTATTTATTCCCTTTCATGGGCTCCAGGTAAGAGATATTTTATTGAAATTGGGAATGCAATTAAATGGCTTTTTAAAGTTTTATTTTTAATTTGAGTTACTTTCTTCCTCTTGATGTCCTCTTGTTCTAAAACCTGAATGTACAGCAAATTAGTATGAACATGTTTGTCAATTCTCTTTTTGTGAAGTTTAAGAATAGTCTCTCTGCAGAGGCACTTTGATTTCTGGTTTCCTCTGTATAACAAGTCATATAGAAAAAAACACAGTAAACCAGGATTATCTTTACCCATCTAATATCAGTTGTATTTTTTTAGCTATGCCTTTAACAGTATAATACAATTTACATGATAGAAGTTTTCTGGAAATTTTTAATGTAAATCATATTTATGATTATATATCAAGTAGCAGTTTACTTGTAACTGTATAGTTCTATATTAATTCCAGCTTTGAAATATTGAAGAATGTTTATGCTAAAATAAGATCTTATCTTTGATCTTGGATGCCACGTTATACCTTGCTGTACATATAAAAGAGAGATATCCTATGAAACCTCTGACATTTTCTCCCAAAACATTATTTCCCTATAACACATAATTTTGCACACCTAAATGAATTTTTTATTTTATAAAGTACATGTAATGGTTTACTTATTTGGCCTAATAGTAATATATTAATTCAGTAACCACTGAATTGGTAATGAGGATATAGCTCATCGTTATTTTAAAAATTATTTCTTTCTACACAGAGATTTTTAATTTTGAATATATGAGCCCCCAAGGCTTTTAGGCTTTTATATTTTGTCAGAGAGTATGAAAATCTCTTGGAATTTTATCAATAATTTTTAGTGTATGTGTGTGTGTGAGATATATATATATATATATATATATATATATATATATATATATATATATCTGTCACAGAGTATCATAGTACTCAGATTTTCAAAGAGTTTCATGATAGAAAAAAGGTTAAGGACCACTGTTTTTTGTATTCTTCATATCCTACAATGAGGAGAAAAAGGTTTTACTTACAACTCTTAATGACAGTGTTTGTCCTTTAAGCAGAACATACCTGAGCCTTTCTCTTGATTATTGCAGTATGCACCCCCACAGGAGGTTACCTTGACTAGCAATAGAGGAATTGGACCAGCCAGTGCGGTCACCTTGCACTAGAGCAATACTCTTCATCCTACAAAAATATTTATCTGAAACATAAAGCATAAATAAAAATTGTGACTATAAAAACTATATAAAAACACAGGTCTAATCTGACTTATAGCACGTGTTCACTCTCTACATTGAGAATTTGCATCAAGAAAGTAAAAATGTTAGAAAATGGAAATTCTGTCATTTTCTGTTATGTGAGTACTTGTGAATCATGATTTTGAGGTAAGTGGGGATGATACTTAAAATGAGGGTTGACAAGGATGGAAATATAGTAAGATATAGATGATTACATAATTTCCTCTGTATCTTAGCATAGACATCAAATGAAAAGAAAAAAAAAGGTGCAAATAATTTGGAAACATATCCCCAATAATTTAAGAACCCCGAAAGGGGAGCAGAATAAAAATGTTAGAAATATGATGAGAACATTTTTTAGTGTGTATAATAATTTATCAGAAAGTAGTTTCTTCGTATTTTTCTTCCTAGATGGCAGATGACAGCTGCTCTTTTCTTCTGATGCAGAAAACTTCTGCTTTCACTGTCTTGCAAAGGGCACTTACTTAACTCCTTGACCATCTACTCACTTAGCAGTAGTTTTATTTTCACAGACATTTTTTATTTCCTAAATCCAGAAAGCATTTATTATGTTTTTTATAGAGAAACTATATTTTTCATGTGATCTGTTTACAGAAATACTTTCATAACCATTAAAATACTGCTAGATAATCATGGCAATGTGAATACTGACTGAACATATAATAATATTGAGGAATTATTGTTAATCTTCATGATAATTTGGTCTTAATCTATAAAAGAATCCCTGTCTTTTAGACATGCATACTGAAGTATTTATGGTTGAAATAATATGACTTCAGAGATTTGCTCCAAAGAAATTCAGCAGATGCTATAGGCAAAACAAGATTGACTATATTTTGATAATTATTGAAGCCAGATAATGGATACATTAATTTTATTATTTTATCTATATTTTTGTACATTTAATAATTTCCATTACAAAAAAATTAAAGAACTGGTTTACAAATCTCAATTCTTACATTTTCACAAATTATATTTTTGAAAAGAATTACCTATGTGGCAAACATTTAGTATAATGTCTAACAAATTGTTCCCTAAGGTGGTTTAAATTGTATTGCTGGGGGAACTTCCCGAAATGGTGCTTTTATTTGGAATGTTCAAAAAGGCAAAATTATACAACGATTTAATGAGGTAAGATGTATTTATTTCTACTGAATAATATAAATATTTTGTAAATATTTTTATTTCTTAATATAATAAAAGTTAACAATCAGGTGGTATGTGTGTTCTGTCAATTAGAAGAAAATCCTAGAGGATATTCACATACTAAAATGAATTCTGAAAACTGTAGCTGAGTTACCTAAAGTTGCGTTAGAGAGTCAAAGGAATTTTTGAATTATCCTCCACAAAATCTATGCAAATACTAAATAATAGGAAGAAGAGTAAACTTAGAGAAAGTCCCAAATTATAGTCCTGATTCTGTTATTAATTAGCTTTTGGTATAAGGACAATCATTTTATTGGCCTGAACCTGTTTCTTCATCTAAAAAGTGATGAAGGTGGTTGATATAGTTTCTTAGATTTTCTTCCAGTTTTCAAATTCTGTTATTCCATGAAAGCCTTAAAACCTGCTCTCTTACATATTTTTTTTTTTTTTTTTTTTTTTTTTTTTTGAGACAGAGTCTCGCTCTTGTTACCCAGGCTGGAGTGCAATGGCGCGATCTCAGCTCACCGCAACCTCCGCCTCCTGGCTCAGGCAATTCTCCTGCCTCAGCCTCCTGAGTAGCTGGGATTATAGGCATGCACCACCATGCCCAGCTAATTTTTTGTATTTTTAGTAGAGACGGGGTTTCACCGTGTTGACCAGGTTGGTCTCGATCTCTCGACCTCGTGATCCACCCGCCTCGGCCTCCCAAAGTGCTGGGATCACAGGCTTGAGCCACCGCGCCCGGCCACTCTCTTATATTTTTAGTGTCACAGATTTTATTTCTCCTTTGGCTTGGAGTTATATTGTCATCCTATATTTTACTGAGTTCCATTAATATTTGAAAAATATGTATGATCTGATTACAAAATATTAGGTATGAATTGGCGGAAGTGATCCAAGATTGTCACTGTCTTGAGATTTCATTTATTTTAGATGATTACTCTTGTTATTAAATATATAATTTCCTAGAAAATTTCTGATATGTTTTTGGTTTTAAAAACATTTACACAAAACAATATTATCCCTTTTAAGATGCTCCTTAGTAGTCTTGCTCTACCACTACTTACAGTAGTGTAGCAAATGCAGGGTTTTAGGAAAACTTTACAAACTACTGTAAGCAATTTTGCACTCAAAAAAAGGAAACTTTGGCTGGGTGCAGTGGCTCATGCTTATAATCCCAGCACTTTGGGAGGCCTAGGCAAGCGGATCACAAGGTCAGAAGTTCGAGACCAGCCTGGCCAATATAGTGAAACCCTGTCTCCAATAAAAGTACAAAAATTAGCCAGGCATGGTGGCACATGTCCATAGTCTCAGCTACTAGGGAGGCAGGAGAATTGCTTGAACCTGGGAGACGGAGGCTGTGGTGAGCAGAGATCATGCCACTGCACTTCAGCCTGGGCAACAGAGTGAGACTCCATCTAAAAAAAAAGAAGAAAAAAAGGAACTTTGACAAGGAATTATAAAAGCTACTTCCTTCCCTTTCTCTATATACAACACGATACCCTTTCAATTTAGCAATGTCTCAACCTGCCTTCCCTTCCATCACCAAAACAACAATTTATCCCGTAATAAATAGTGGATTATAAGAAGTGATAGCCTAAAAATGAAACATCTGGCCTAGATTCATAAATTGTATGTCTTTACTTATTAGATCTGTTGATTTCCTCTTATGGCATCTTGGCAGCTTGGAATCTCACATATCTGCCCACTAGCACTTAAACACTTCCAGTCTGATTCTAGAAACCCAGCATTTTAGTATCAAGGACATGTCTTATTTCTTTATGTCTTTCCCAACATTTACTAGCATAGTTAAGACCACTATCAGAATTGCTGAAATCCTTTGACATAATTAAGGGAAAAATTAACAATGCGAGCCTTAGTTAACTAAGCCACATGTGTTCCACAAAAAGAAGTACAGGATAGTAGAGAGCCATAAATGCAATTTTCATGGGGATAAATGAAGCTGACAGAAAGCCTCTACCCCATAAACAGAATGAAGCAACTAATCCCATTTTTAAATCTGCCTGCATAAGCCTACCCTCTTTGATCTCCAAACAGGTAAAACCAGCAAACCGGAAATTTAAGAAATTAAAACTGTATTTGCACAGCAACTTTAAGATGTAAGATAAAAGTCACTGTAGTTTCCCCTTAATGGAAGCCACAGTTTAAGTACTATATAAAGTAGAAATGTTTTTACTTAAAATTTAGAAATGTGTTGATTACAATTTTTATTTGCCTATCACACAGTTGATGAATGACTCTCATGTGTAATAGATTACTTGCAGTTTTAAAAATAATTATAACTCCAGCTACAATTATACACCCTGGCCCTTTCTCACTCCTAGAAAGCAGAGGATGAAACAAATATAAAGTGATTTATTATAGGGATAACATTAACTCTATTCTGATTTTTTAATAAAAATAAAACTTTGAAACTTGGAGAAACAACCAATAATATCTGCTTCCAACATTTCTTATACTGTGGTTGAAGTAGCACTGTGTTTGGAAGCAGATAGATAACTTTTCATCACCATACTTGTATTAACGGGAGAAGGCATTAAGCAGTACTGAGAACAGCTCGGCCGTCTAGACCCCCACGCAGGTGGCACTGAGGGAATTAAGAAGCAGACATCCAGATAGAACAGGGAAGTGGGACCATCCAGGGGCCAACAGCCTTCTGAGCTGACAGCCTCAGGGGCCAACAGCATTCCAGGCCCAGAGCCTGGAACAGACTCTGACCCAAGTATTTATTCTCTCTGAACAGGTGATTATTATTAACAGGCGTTCTGTGTTTTCTCCTAGACCAAAGATAAACTAGGCAAACAGCTGATGCCTCCTTACCACTGATCAAGCACAAACTAGGAAGTATTCTCCACGAGGGAGCCACGGGGGCAGGGTCACCTATCCCATGCTTAAAGAATTGTTTTTAACTGGTGTATGATATACATATATTATTTTGCTACTTTAGAACGTCTTGAGCAGTTTTCTGCTTGGTGCAGGGGGAGGGGGGTGCTGGCTCAGTTTTCCTTGCCACTGTTCTTAGCAAACAGTATAATTTATCATACACTCAGCATTTCTCAGAAAAGCAAAATTTAATTCTACAGATAACTTAAGGATATTTTGACTCTTTACCTGGTATCCAACAGAAAGAAATGGAGCCACCTGATTTACGTCTTAAAACAATGGATTAATATCTTAAAATACTTTTAAATTGTGACAGCTTTAGACATTCTGAAAGCATATTAACAGTAATGTCTCTGTTAGTATCATCGAAAGCACGTTCCTAATAGAAAAGTAATAATTAGAAGAAGTAAATAAATAAGAGAAAAAAGGGGTGAATTATTTCTTATTGATAGGTATTTTACATTTTTTGAAGCATGGAACAAATGGAATATTCTGCATTGCCTGGAGTCATAAAGATTCTAAAAGAATAGCAACCTGCAGCAATGATGGTTTCTGGTAAGTCCTATGTATGGTATGTGATATGAAATTACACTGTTTGTAAAGCACACGTTTGATCATTCCAATTGTGTATCAATGAGATTACATTTGTACAGCTCTACCAACTATCAGCATTGTTTTTAAGCCCATATAGGCACATACTACATTGCTGTGGTGTTTCATTAATAAATAACAAGGCAAGGGTATTTGAATTTTTTTTAATGAGCCATTCGTTGCTCTCTAAATGAAAATACTACTTGAATTATTAGGAAAAAACTCTTTCTTTACCTCAAAGAAACTTTAAGGACTTTTTACAAAGTCTTAATAATTATCATCACATTGTTTGGGGAGTAGTATTTCCGTTTTACAGGTGACTTAACAGATGTAAAGTGCTGTAGAAACTTGTTTATAGTTTTGTAGATGCTATTATTCATAAAGGGATAAAAAGCCTTTGCAAAGAGACATAAGGTCACACATGTGGGAAATGCCTTTTGTTAGGAAATAACTTCACTGACTCTATATTTTAGAAGTATGTGCTTTCTTGATTCTTTTAAGTCCCAGAAATAAGTAAGGTTCCAAGTAAAAATATGTAAGGAAAAAATGCCTTGGTTTAAAAAACTTCAGATGCTCCCCCTCTGTAGCTATGGGTATGGTCATCTTTGATAGGTGGATGGGTGGTACAGACACTGACAGTTCTTGAGAATACAGAAGTTGTTAGGTTTTGCTAAACCCACTCCAGTCTTCTCATCCTCACTTTTTAATTTCAGTAGAAAAGATAGTAGTTATGGAAAGCAAAGCTCCTTACCAAGAAGTTAAAATGTTCAGAAACAACAATATTAGTGATTTTTTTCCTTGAAAGGAACTATGTGCTAATTGGTAGATACCAAAATACGAAAGTGCCTGAGAGCTTGTTTTTTTTTTTTTTTTTTTTTTTTTTGATACAAAATTTGTTTTACCATGTATTTCAGGACATTATTTATTTGACAAATACCACATTCAGTGACTAAACATCTGTAAGCACAAGTCACTACCACTGCCTATTAACCTCAAAAGTTTTGGTGGGCCTAATAACATTTAAGGTGGTCTTTTCCAAACACTTCTAAAACTTCATAGTATGTTAATTAGTACACACTTTTTTTAATTGAATCAATAGCTTTTGCATTGTGGTAGTAATAGAGTATGATAATAGAGCTTTTACTTTTGCAATTGAATTATATAGAATCCTTTTCTGATGGCAGGGGGTGGGGGATCATCTCTGAATTTTAGTTATATTACTGAGAATGTACAGTGAAAAGTTATAATTTAATGTCTTAGCCTTGGTGTAATGGCACATAATACCAACTTTATAAATAGTTGTTTTAAACACTATAAATTTTAAATTACCTCATTTTGAATTTAAAATCTAATGTATATATCACTGTTTTAAAATGCATTGGACTGTATTTTCCTCAACTAAAAAATTCCGTAAGAAAATAGGGTTTTTTTTTTTGTTGTTTTTCCATTGCTCAGGCTGGAGTGAAGTGGGGCAATCTCAGCTCACTGCAACCTCCACCTCCTGGGTTCAGTGATTCTCCTGCCTCAGCCTCCTGAGTAGCTGGGACCACAGGTGTGCACCACCATGCCTGTCTACTTTTTTTGTATTTTTTGGAAGAGATGAGGTTTCACCATGTTGGCCAAGCTAGTCTTGAACTCCTGACCTCAAGTGATCCACCTTCCCTGGCTTCCCAAAGTGCTGGATTATAGGCATGAGCCACTGTGCCTGGCCAAGAAAATAGTGTTTAAATCAAAATTTACCACCTTCTATTAATTATAGGTTACCATAATTAATATTATGTGATGCAAATATACTCGTAATCCGTAATATTTATACAATACGTTCAAATGTTCCTTGTGCTTTATAGACAAGATCTCGGTCCTGGAATATTTCTACTTAAAATTTATAATTCTGACTTTATTTCCTTTAGTAATGCATTTAGAATGTTGTTGTATTAACATATTATAACTAATTCTAGTATCATTCGAACAATTGATGGTAAAGTGCTACACAAATATAAGCATCCAGCTGCCGTGTTTGGTTGTGACTGGAGCCAAAACAATAAGTAAGTATTTTATTCTAAAATAAATAATAACTATATTTTAGAAATTTTAAATGACCATAAAGTTTATTGCTATTTCCATAGGTGATATTTATCACTCTATTTATACAATATCTTTTTGTCTAGCAATTGAGAAGTAGCCTTGTAATTGCTCATTTATTTTAGTTATTTTTATTTCAGTTATTTTTATTCCATGAAGTTTTTACATGATTTACAAATACTGATTTCCTATTCTCAAAAAAAACGTTCTAATAGGAAAAATACATAATGCTAACTAATGAATAATGGAAATGAGTCTGTCACATGTAAGGCTTCCATCACAGAAATGTGGCCCTTCCTTTAATCTCATGTAGGAATCTGTGCAATGGTAGTGTTCCGCGACGGACTTTGCATTGTCTGCCATCTGATGCCAAGGCCTCTGGTGCTGGGTCATTTCCCAGGATATGGAACTTAAGTGCCTGGTTTTGAAAGGTGTATCTTGTTTAACAGCCAAGTGTTTATCGTGTAAAAATCAGCTTAGATTCAAAATTAAGTCCAAGTCAAATCACTAAAATTAGACCTTTTACTCATTGCATTTCCTAGAATATTGTGTTTCAAGCCTCTTTTAATGGCATATAAAATATATCTAAAAATTCAAACTTAATTTAAGAGATTGTCAAAAACAGTGTGAATTATGTTACTTTATAATAAATGTGGGAAATATAGATTAAGGTACTGAAACCTAATTCTACCTGTGTTCTAGTCAAATCACATGTTTTACAAAATGATGGACCTGTATTTCCTTCAGTTAGTGTAGAAGAATGTGTAATACGCTGTTTTTTGTTTTCGTGTTTGAGACAGAGTTTCACTCTTGTTGCCCAGGCTGGAGTGCGATGACGCAATCTCAGCTCACCAGAACTTCCACCTCCTGGGTTCAAGCGATTCTCCTGCCTCAGCTTCCTGAGTAGCTGGGATTACAGGCATACACCAACATGCCCGGCTAATTTTGTATTTTTAGTAGAGACAGGTTTTCTCCATGTTGGTCAGGCTGGTCTCAAACTCCAGACCTCAGGTAATCTGCCTGCTTCGGCCTCCCAAAGTACAGGGATTGCAAGCGTGAGCCACCGCACCCGGCCTTACACACTGTTAAGGTTATATGCAAAATAAGCTCACTATCAGCTTATCCCCAGTATTTCCTATCTCAGTGGCCAATATTGCTAACAAGGAAAACTCCTAAAGTTAGAATGCTTAGCCTTTTCTTTCATACCTTTTTTCTGTCTCAGTTTTCATTTTCAATCAGCCACTAAGTCCTGTCATTTTCTCCCTCTAAATATTCTTCTTGGCTGAGTGTGGTGGCTCACGCCTCTAATTCTAGCACTTGGGAGGCTGAGGCTAGAGGGTCACTTAAGCTCAGGAGTTTCAACACCAGGCTGGGCAACATAGTGAGACTTCATCTCTTTAAAAAAAAAAAAAATGAAAAAATTAGTCAGACTAGTGGGGCACACTTGTAGTCACAACTCCTCAGGAGGCTAAGGTGGGAGGATGTCTTGAGCCCAGGAGGTCGAGGCTGCAGTAAACTATGATTGTGCCACTGCATTGCAGCCTGGGTAATAAAGCCAGACCCTGTTTCAAATTTTAAAAAAGCAAAAGAAAAAAATTATAAATACTCTTTTTTTCTAACCATCGACCTCCCACTAAACCTGCAGAAACTTTCTAAGTCACTTCTACAGTTTATGCCCTTTATTATCACCTCCTCTCTCCCTAGCCCACTTCTCCATGTTGCAGTAAGAATGAACATTTAAAACATAAGAGTTGAGCACAGCATTCTACTGCTTAAATCTTTCAATACTTTCCCATTAACTGCAGGATGAAATGAAGACTCTTAGCAAGCACTACAAGAAAATCCCTGAATAATCTTTTTCCTATTTTATTAATCTCATTCCCAGCCTTGCCTTCTTTCCCTTGCTCCTTGCATCCAATACACTGGCTTTCAGTTTATTGAACTAGCTATCTGATTTGCATCCCAAGGCTTTCACTTGTTCTGGTCCCTTTTACCCAGGATTCTACTTCCCACCCTACACCACATGCCCTACCTAGGTGGGACATAAATAACTGCTACCCATCTTTCGGCTTTCAGCTCAAAAAACACAGAAAAGTATTCCTTGACCCCCATATGAAGTGAGTCTCCCATATCATTTGCCTTTGGAGCACTTAATATAATAAAATTAAATTTTATTTGTTGCCTGGTTGCATTTTGGCTGTTTCATCCTCTGAAATGTAAGCCTTCTGAGATCACTAACTCTTCTCTGTGTTAAACAGTGTATTCTTAGCAAAACACTGAGTTGCTGACCCTCACTGTGCCTTGAAAAAAGTAGATGTTCAATAAATATTTGTTAAATATGCCAGTAAATAGACTAATAAACAGTTCCACATTCCTATTTCTCTGTTTTATAGAGGTAATAAATATAATTTAGCTATTTGTATAATATGTTTAGTTAGTCAAGAAAGCTTTCTTTTCAAATGATACTGGAAGTCCTTTATATTTAACTATTATGCTTCCTAGCAAGCATACCTAATAAACTTCATTTTTAATTTTCAAAACCTTTTAAAATGTTTTAATTGCTGTATTCATATTCTACTTATCAACTCAGTAGGTAAGTGAACCTTGAACATTTCCAAAGTTTATTTCTGGGGTATCTCTGACTGTATAATTTAGGTATCGTTATGCGTATTATTTTAATGACTATGATATCATTTCTAAGACTTTAGGTATTTGCATACGCATATATATAAAAATATACACATGTATATATATATATATATATATATATGAAAATATATATATATATATATGCAAAATATATTTTCCCCAATGTAGAAACTATCTTGTTTATCAGTGGGCCTTGAGAAGCTGTAATCTGCACATTTACAGATTGGCATGCCAGTTTGCAAACTGGTGTATTTCTACATATGGGCTTAAATAAATATAAGCATTATAACTCAGGTGACAAAATCAACAGTTTGAAGTTTTGAAAGGGTTTTGATGACAGTTAGGATGCAGAGTATGTAACTGCCTTTCTGTATGTTTAGCATGTGGAGACTGTTTATGTGATGGTTCGAGGAGGTGTTCCTCAAGTAGACTATTCTGGCAGGCCTTTGATTTCCGCAGATCTGCCTGGTACTCATAATTCCTTTCCTAGCAGGATTCCCAGTTTGACCACGAAGGTACAAGTAGCTGCTTAGCTTATTCTCACTATTGTGAAAACAATGAGCAAAGAACATGAAAAGATCTTATTCTATTTCCGGGGGATCCACAGTTGTGCCAAATAGTTGAAGCATCTTAAAGAAGGGAAGCCATCAAAAAGGATTGGAAACCTGGACTGTGACTTACTGTCCGAAGAGGCCACCCTGGTCTCCAGGGAGCTTTTCCAAAAAACTTCCAGTGAGAATATTGTTGTTTCTACCCATGCCACAAAAAAAAAAAAAAAAAAAAAAAAAAACCTAACAAATGGGCTAGGGCATATAATAATAATTTGTCTACCAGGAAGAAAGCAAATGTCATCATTCACCATTTGAGATGCTTCTTCAGACCTAAGTGTTGCAAAATGTAAAATTTAAGAAAAATTTGGAAAATTATGAGTCTGGACATATTGAAAAAGAACTTATAGAAACAGAAATACCATTAACTCTGACCTAAAATAAATGAAATAAAAATTCAACCAATTAAAAGAAAACACAGAAAGAAACCCTTTTCCTACTGGCGCAGTTTCTGTAAATGAGCAGTAGTGTGATTATACATGATTTTTTTACATATGTAAGTTTTTAGTCTAACTTTACTAAGGAAGCAAAAATTCTACTTTTAGAAACGAAAAATATTATATACCTTTAATTAGTAATATATATCATATTTATTCTATGTCAATGTTCCATTTATGGTATTTCAGAGACATGATAGCCACTGGCTGTGAAGACACAAATGTTCGTGTTTATTATGTAGCCACCAGCTCAGATCAACCACTGAAAGTATTTAGTGGGCATACAGCAAAAGTGTTTCACGTTAAATGGTCTCCTCTGAGGGAGGGAATTCTTTGCAGTGGTTCTGATGATGGGTATGTATTTTTGGATTCTAATTTTTTAATCCTTAAAATCACAAGCTTATATTTGCCTAGAAATGTACATATTTATAGGATCAAATTATATGTTGAAATATATATATATATATATATATATATATATATATATATATTTTTTTTTTTTTTTTTTTTTCTTTAGACAGAGTCTCTCTCTGTCACCCAGGCTTGAATGTAGTGCTGTGATCTTGGCTTACTGCAACCTCCACCTCCCAGGTTCAAGTGATTTTCCTGCCTCAGCCTCCCAAGTAGCTGGCATTACAGGCATGCACCACCATACCTGGCTAATTTTTGTATTGTTAGTAGGGACAGGGTTTTGCCATGTTGTCCAGGCTGGTCTTTCACTCCTGACCTCAGGTGATCTGCCCACCTTGACTTCCCAAAGTGCTGGGATTATAGGCATGAGCTACCACACCTGGCATATATATGGAAATATTAGAAATATGTAGTTGACAAGTACCTAATTGCATTTAATCCAAACTAAATTAAATTATATCATGCTTATAATATCATTATATACATTTTTGTTTCCTTATTTATTTTGTATATTTCTAGCCTATTAACAAGAAAATTAATAAAAACAAAAATTTTAAAAGGATCTTCCAGGGAATAGAATAAATCTGAAGCAAATAAATAGACAGAACAGTTTGTTGTTAATACTATTCTTATGTTAATATGGAAAACAGCTTTACTGTGCTTTCATCAAGAATAGAGTAAAAGCTGATCATAACTTTAGGATGAAGAAGAGATATCTTAGGAATAAGAATGTTTTAACATTTTTCTGGATCTGTGAGAGTTTCTGAAATTTGCCTTTTTCTATATTCAAACAAGATAGATTTATATACTATAGTTTAATTACTATTTGAAGATGGAATAAATTTAGGCAAGACAAATCTTTATGCAAGTAAAAGTCATAGTACATGAAACTACAGATTTAGTACTGAATGATTAAGCATTGTCATTGAATTTTCGGCATAAATCCAAATTTAATAAGCGAAGTAATTATGAGATTTTTGCAGGGTATGATTTGAAATAAGTCAGAATGGTAGGAAAACCAGTTATACTACTGTACTCATGGCAGAACTCTCAGATGCTGTGCTTCAGCCTGGAAGGCCTCAGGCACTCCTTATTTGCAGTGGGTCGTATAAAAGCCTTTCTTAGGTTTGACCAAGAAACATGTCTTGAGACTTCAAAGCCTAACTACTGAACATTTCATAAAAGGAAAGACACCTGTTCTAGTGGCCTCTACAATAACATTAAATTATTTGATACAAAGAAGAAATGAAACCTTTTTTTGTTTTTTTTTGTTTGTTTGTTTGTTTGTTTTTTTGACACAGAGTCTTGCTCTGTCACCAGGCTGGAGTGCAGTGGCGTGATCACAGCTCATTGCAACCTCTTCCTCCTGGGTTCAAGCTAGTCTCCTGTCTCAGCCTCCCGAGTAGCTGGGACTACAGGCACACACCCACAAACCCAGCTAATTTTGTGCTTTTAGTAGAGACAGGGTTTCACCTTGTTGGCCAGGATGGTCTCTGTATCTTGACCTCATGATCCACTGACCTCAGCCTCTCAAAGTGCTGGGATTACAAGCGTGAGCCATCACTCCTGGCTGAAATGAATTTTTTTAATATAAAGCAGAAAGGGATATGCCATAAGACATAAGAATATATAATTTATCTCCTATATAGTGCAAAATAGTAATACTTTTGAAGTACCACTATTTTCTTGTCAGTTTGGCATGTATCTGTGACTAAAAAAATATTGTGAATCATCTAAGCAAAATTAGCATTTGGAGGTCTTAAATTGTGAGTTCAAATTTTAGTTTCAGTAACATTTGTACAATCTACTGATTGTACAAATGTTACTGAATGTAATTGTACAAATGTAATTTCATGAATCCAGTTATATTTAAATTTGTAACTTGATCTGAGATTTATTCTACACTGACCGAGCAACTTATATCACTGACAAAAAAAAAGAAGGAATGATTTGCTGTATTGATTAAACATAAATATGAAGTGACATTTTAAATAATACCCATTATCATACATTTTATGCTTTTATTATTTACAAATAATCTTAATATCTTAAGTTATTGCATCTGTATTATTAGTCTTATTTTTTCCTCTTTGGTTATATCTGTTTTTGATATTTCATTTTAACAAAGCAATTTTATTCACATAAAAACTGTGAAATAATATATTTACTACCAGGAAGAAATGAAGAGTAAAAGTCAAGAAAGCAAATATGTTTAAATAAGCTAGCACTAGCCTAGTTAAATATTCATTTCCATCTACTGTAAAGAAAAGTACGTGAGGGGATGAATTTGTTCATTTGCTTGATTTAATTGTTCTGCATTGTAAGCATGTATCAAAAGATCACATTTACTCATAAATATATACAATTATTATTTTTTCAATTAAAATGAAGAGAACCTTATATCTTGAAATATAAAATGTTTCTAGATATGCTAATAAGTAATTATTGTGCTCTATGAAGTATTTGTTAATACTCTAGATACATTATAACTTGAATGTTATTACATCCATAATATTCTGTTTCAGTACTGTTCGAATCTGGGATTATACTCAAGATGCGTGCATAAGTATTCTTAGTGGACACACTGCACCTGTGAGGGGATTAATGTGGAACACTGAGATTCCATATCTGCTAGTATCTGGCAGCTGGGACTATACTATAAAAGTATGGGACACACGAGAAGGAACTTGTTTGGATACTGTGTACGATCATGGTGCAGATGTGTATGGTAAAGTGTCTCTTATTCTTTCGTGTTTTTGTTATATTGACATACTAATTATGCTTATAATTTCTGAGGAATACAGTATTTTTGAAGAAGTTATATGGTGTTTCATTTTACAATAACATTTTTCTCATTAGAAAATATACATGTTAATTATTATAACACCAGAATAGAAAGAAGAGAGAGCCAAGAAAAATTATCAGAAGATGACTATTGTTAGCACTGTGGTGTCTTTTCCCTCCTGTCTGCAGGTGTGTCCGTGTTTCTGTGTACACACAAACACACACAATACGCACGTATTCCAATGGGCATATATGGCTTAGGTTTTTTTCCCTTTCTTTAACATCACTCCAGAGGTAAGTTGTAGAACAGGAAATCAGTAATAAGGTAGATACCGCTTACTTAACCATTCCTCTATTCTTGGATGTTTAGTACAATATATTTTTAATATAATCCCAAGTTTCTAAATATAATTGATGTGAGTATGGAAAATCAGATTACTTACCATTTGCACATTATTTCACTCTCATTCTTGTTGGTATTTATTCTCATTCTTAAACCTTGATGAGAGTAAATGGGTGGATTAAGAAAGCAAAAATGATTTCTTAGAGAAAGTGTAACCTCAATCTAGATCAGAATCAGATCCATGTGCTTGACCACAATGGCCGTTTAGCCAAGGCAATGTGGGACTGAGTGTGGGAGAGAAACATATTTGTTGATATTTGCATTGAAAGGTCCCCAACTCTTCATCTGCCCATCCATTAAGTCATAGATACTATGTATATTGTCTGTTTTGTAGCATACTTTTTGCTGCTTAACCACGCAAAATACAATTTTAACATTTTCACCGTGACCATTTGCTTTCTGATAATTTTTTTCTTTTTTCTTTTTCTTTCTCTTTCTCTCTCTCTCTCTTTCATTCTTTTCTTTCTTTCTCTCTGTCAGTCTCACTCTGGCTCTGTCGCTCAGGGTGGTGTACAGTGGCGCAAACACAGCCCACTTCAGCCTTTCCTCCCAGGCTTAAGAGAGCCTTCCAAATAGCTGGGATGACAAGCACATGCCACCATACCCAGCTAATTTCTTTATTTTTGCTAGAGATGGTATTTTGTCATGCTACCCAGGCTGGTCTCAAATTCCTGGGCTCAACTAATCCACCTGCCTTGGACTCCCAAATTGCTAGGATCACAGGCATGAGCCAACATGCCCAGCCTCTAATAATTACTCAATTTTGTATTCATATATATAGAATATATAAAATAATTTATTGCATTCTTGTATTATTTTTGGCCAATAACGGCCCCCTGAGGCCATTTATCCGGCCCCCCGCCGCACTTCAGGAAGGGGCATCTCTTTCATTGGTGGTCAGTGAGAGGAGCACAGTATGTGGTGGCCCTCCAACGGTCTGAGGGACAGTGAACTGGCTCCCTGTGTAAAAAGTTCGGGGACGCCTGAATTAACTAAATTCAGATAGAAGGTTGACTGCAAACCTTTCCGTTCCTCAGAATATTTCTTCATAGCTTCAATTCTGTAGAAGTTTTATGAAGTACATTGCATATAAATAAAGAATATTTTTCAATGTTCACTTTAATTAAAATAAGGTTTTTTTTTTTTTTTCATCAGGTTTAACCTGCCATCCCAGTCGCCCCTTCACTATGGCCTCTTGCTCCCGTGATTCTACAGTGAGACTCTGGTCATTAACACCCTTAATCACTCCTGTACAAATAAATATTTTGGCAGACAGATCTTGGGAAGAAATTATTGGGAACACTGGTATGGAACATATACATGTATTAGAGTTTGTAAATCATGTTTTCTGAGAAATTTTTTGTCACTGAATTATGTCTGTTTTTCAGATTATGCTATAGAACCAGGCACTCCTCCTCTACTGTGTGGTAAAGCGTCAAGAGATATTAGACAAGAAATAGAAAAACTAACTGGTAATTCTCGAATGAAAAAACTAAGATGGTTTTCAGAATGTTTATCCGTAAGTATTACAGGAATTAAATGCGAACATTTTCCCTTTAGCCAAAATGAATCATTACAACTGTTGTCGTTCACATATTTGCATGTACCATTCCAATTCATTGGGTACCTCTTAACGTAGTCTGTACCCTATAAGAAAGCCAATGTAAAATCAGAAACAATACATGAGATAATGTATATTATGTTAATTTTTAAATTTAGATATCCCTGCATTATAATATTTTTGAAGATGCAAAATGCTATGAGATTTTCAATTCACTATTACGTATTTGTTTTTTATCAACTTTTTAGCCTCCAGGTGGCAGTGACAATGTATGGAACTTGGTTGCTGTGATAAAAGGACAGGATGATAGCTTACTTCCTCAGAACTACTGCAAAGGAATAATGCATTTGAAACATCTGATTAAATTTAGAACAGTGAGTAAAGTATGCAAATATGACATACCCAAGCAAATTTTTTTGCCTTTTCACTATTGTAATATAAAAATTATTTTAAAAGTATGCATGATTACATTAGTAGACTTAAGTAAATGAACACTGAGGAGATAAATCTTTGATAGAACCGCTCATAAAAGTGAATTACTTGAGAACAGATTAAGTCAATCATGTTTATCATAGGTTGAATCTCATGAAATTCTTTAAAGATCACATGGAACTCCTTGAAATGCTTTATCTTTCCCCTATTAGCAGATGATTATGACATATGGACTGTTCTAATTTTAGTCTCAAAGGGCCTAATAGGCTATTCTGGGATATGTTAAATGAAAAATGATCATATTATAGCTCTTAATGAATTTCAGTAAAATCTAGTAGTTACCTCACCCCTGGAGCAATCTGTAGCACTAAGAGCAAAACCTATTCTAGGACCAGAAAGAAAAACTTGCTTATATATTTTCTGAAATACCTATAGTTAACTATTAGAGCATGGAGACAGTTGTGCCAGATATGTGGATCTCCTGCTTATAAAGAGCAGTTTTTTTTTTTTTTTTTTTTTTTTTCCATCAAGAGGAAGTGCTTCTTTCATCACAGGCTAAACACCTAATGACTGTAACTGCAAACTCTATTTGATAGGAGAGGAGCTGAATAAAGTAAGCCAGTAACTTTTTATTTTTATTGGCAGCCTCTCTGTATTGTTGCATATTACTTTATCATTACCTTTTAATCTGTTCTGTATAACTACCAACACCTGGAGAGGGTTAAGGACAATGGGATTCAGTCTCTCCCCTCCTGCGTCTTGTGCCCACACACACTCCAAAATACTATGTTTATAAAAATATCATATTTTATAGAGAAACATACTTTTTAAATATTGACTTTCCAGAGCTATATGCTTTTGAAATATGTATTCATGTAATGTTATCTGATCATCTGTTATGAACTCTTGTAAAACACGTTTTTAGGCCAGATGTGGTGGCTCATGCTTGTAATCCCAGCACTTTGGGAGGCTGATTCTGACCAACATGATGACACCCCATCCCTACTAAAAATATAAAAATTAGCTGTGTGTGTTGGCGTGTGACTGTAGTCCCAGCTACTCAAGAGGCTGAGGCAGGAGAATCGCTTGAACCCGGGATACGAAGGTTGCAGTGAGCCAAGATGGTGCCACTGCACTTCAGCCTGGCAACAGACCAAGACGCTGTCTTAAAAAATAATAATAACAATTTTAAAAGTTTTTAAATTATGGATGCGTAATAGTTTATAGAGTATATGTGATATTTTCATACAAGCATACAATGAGTATTGATCAAATCAGAGTAATTGGGGTATCCATCACCTCAAGCATTTATCTTTTTTTGTGTGTTAGGCACATTTCAATTCCATTCTTTTAGTTATTTTGAAATATACAACAAATTATTATGGCACATACAAAACAAAATATGACAAAAGTTTCAAATTTCTATTTTCTTTTTTAAACCAGTCTGAAGCTCAAGAACTAACAACAGTCAAGATGTCCAAATTTGGTGGTGGTATTGGTGTGCCTACTAAAGAGGAAAGACTGAAGGAAGCTGCTGAAATCCACTTGAGATTAGGACAAATTCAGAGATACTGTGAACTTATGGTTGAACTTGGAGAGGTAATGTGCCATTAAAATAAAACTAATGAGTTTAACATAGTAGTCTAAATACTAAGAATACACTCAATTTTAAGTATTAAAAATGTGAAGCTCAGCACTTTGGAGACCAAGGTGGATGGATCACTTGAGCTCAGGAGTTCAAGACTAGTCTAGGCAACATAGGAAACCCTACCTCTATAAGAAACACAAAAAATTAGACAGTCATGGTGATGAGCACTTGTAATCCCAGTTACTTGTGAGGCTGAGAGGATCACTTGAGCCCAGGAAGCAGAGGTTGCAGTGAGCTATGATCATAGCACTGCACTCCAGCCTGGGCTACAGAGTGACCCTATCTCAAAAAAAAAAAAAGAAGCTTTTTTTTTACAGACCTAATTGATTCTCTGCCAATCTGATATTAAGTGTAGACTCTAGGAGAATAGTTATCTGAGTGTTTCAGGCAGCAGCATTAGCATCAGTGGGGAACCCTATGCATCCTCGCCCCAGACCTACAGAATCAGAGACTGTAGGGATGGAGTCCAGCCATCTTGTGTTTTTATAAGCCCTCCATGTTATTCTCTTACATGCTGAAGTTTGAGACCTACTGCCCTAGGCTGGAATCTTAACTTCTTAAAATCAAACATACAAACAAACAACTATGTTGGCTGATTTGTTCACAGTAGAATCCCCTTGCTAATACTACTTAGTATTACTAAATCCTGCACTGGCCAGAAGGGTTTCTGCTGAGTATCATCTAATAAAGGATGGTCGTAAGACACATCCTGATTGTTCCGTGGAGGACTAAATCAACAGAACTGATTTTACAAAAAGGTTAGGATGAATTTATGCTTTTGCTACCCTTTGGTAGATGGGTAGTGACTACAGTGGAACATGGAAGCATGGGGCTTCTGTTTCTTGACCCTGGGTGTTGACTACATGGGCATATTCAGTTTGTGTAAACTTACTGGACCTTTCCCTTTTCTTTGTATGCATTTTAGTTCAATTAAAATTCTGCCTTTCCCTGCCTCACCAAAACGAAGGTTAGAATGGACTTATTTAATAGCTTATAGTCTTTTAAAATGTCTGAGTTAGTTCATTGTGTAGTGACAGAGTGACATTAAGAATGCTTGTAAAGTAAAACTAAACAATATGGTTACATTAAAATAAATCAAACGTAAATTTGGCTCACCGTTTTGCTTTCCATATACTTCAAGACAAACTGAATTACTGCTGGACCCCAAATAATAAAATGTGCCATTTAAACATGTTATCAGAAAGGCATTATAAATTTAAAAGTATTTAATTTAGGAGCAACATAAAAATTTTCCTTATTAAATAGTAAATATTTAACTAAAAGTTACTTCACTAAGCAGCATTACTGCAGAGATCTATCCAAAGTCAGGGAGAAAGGAATTAGTAAATTTTGGTAGAACAGTGTAATTCTTTAGCTTTCTGAGTTTTATATTTGATTAAATGTAATTTAAACTGTCTTTAAGTCAACTCCTGTTTCAATCAGGTATCTGTTTGTGAAACTTAATAATTTTATTGTTGTGCAGGTTCATGAATATACTTAATAATCCAAAGAACTGCAAGTTGTTAGAAATATGGGTGTCTTTAGAGTCATTCATAATCACTTCCTTAGGAATTTTTTTTAATTTTGTTTAAGCGTAATACTGTGAGGTTAGGTAAACATTTAATTTTTTTGCTTATTAAACATGTTTCTATTAAAGGAGTTTGGTGAATTCAAAGTTAATTTAATCTACATTCCAACTTCTTTCTTCCATTAGAGACAGATTTCCCCTGAAACTATATGTTAAGATACCTTTTAGGTAACATGATTTTAAATATGTAGTATTAAAAATTGCCTGTTTAAAGTTTAACATTATTTTCTAGTTAATTACCAATTTCCTAGTGAAAATTACAGTAGAACCCTAATGCTTTGCAGAGCCTTAATTAAAATGAAATTTTGATGCATGTAGTGATATTTCAGAAAATTCTCTTCTCAGTTCCACTCTAGACTGGAATTCAGTGAAACCTATATTTTCATCTAACAGTCACAATTCACAATCAGCCTTTATTAAACAATGAGCTTCTTCAATAGAAGTCTAATTTCTAAATAGGAAGACAAGTATCATATTATCAGTTAAATTAAGAAATGACAATAAATAAAATTTATTAAAATGAATAGGAAAGGAACAAAATCAAAATAGGTGGTATATTTGTTCAATATAAGCAGCAGTGAAATAAAAATGTTAGCATTATTTTGAACACCATAGAATAAATTACTCTGGAGTTGTATTAGAAGATGAGTCATTGTATTTTTCAAAGCACATATTGTAGTTTCTATTCCTTTTCTCCCCTTCCCTTCTCTCCCTCCCCCCGTCTCTCCTTCCATCGTTCTGTCCTTCTCTCTAGGTTTAGGACTGGATTTTCCCTAAATAATAGAATTTTACGTATTTTAAAATATTTTAATATGTAGAGACTTCAAAAATTTGTGGAAAATGAAATTAAAAGATAACAATAACCAATAAATATTATTTTTCTCAACTTCTTCAAGCTCCATCAAGTTTGAGACACTTTTGTAAGTGATAAAATCAGCCATTTAGTCCTTCCCTAAAGAACTGAGGGTCCTTGGAGTTTAAACATGTTAATACAGTCTTTACTTTTTTTTTTTTTTTTTTTTTTTTTGAGATGAGGTCTCACTCTGTTGCCCAGGCTGGAGCTCAGTGATGTGATTATAGCTTACTGAGCCCTCAAACCCCTGGGCTCAAGTAATCCCCTCCCCTCAGTCTCTCAAGTAGCTAGAACTACAATTGTGCACCACCACACCTGGCTAATTTTAAGAAAAAAAAATTTGGTAGAGATTAGGGTCTTACTGTGTTGCCCAGGATGGTCTCAAGCAATCCTTCCCCATCATGCTCCCAAAGTAATGGCTTTACAGGCATCAGCCATCATGCCCAGCCTCTTTTATATCGAGAGAGGTAAAATTAGTGCTATTTAAAGATTTTTTTTAAGATTACAAAACAAAAAGAAGTCAGAAGTTACCAAATCAGGACTCAAGAACTCTAAAAATGCTGTATTATAACTACGAATCTATTTTTTAAGTGTCTTAAGAATTGCACATTGCAACCGAAATAAATATGCTTCTGCTCTTTTTGCCTTCTATTCTAGTGGGACAAAGCCCTGTCAGTTGCGCCGGGGGTCTCTGTGAAATACTGGAAGAAGTTAATGCAGCGGTAAGGCAGAGACAGTCCATGTTAAAATAGATGTTTCAAAATCATATTAAAATAGAAGTAGTATATAAATACGGCAGTAGCTCTTTGAGATTTCTTATTCTTCCATTGTCTTAAATAATAACTGAATTTTATATCTACTGATATAATAAAGAGTTACAAATAATTTTGGTGTTCTTGGATTTGACTTGACCTCTGATGAAGATAGCAGAAGGCAAATTTCCCCATGTCCCTGGAGAGAAGGACAGATCAGCAAACATACTCACTGATTAGTAAGTCGCTATTGAAACATAAGTGGTAAGATTTTCTGAAGGTTAGCATAGGTTCGTTACTATGAATTATCTCAAAAAATTTCTGGGCAGGCTCTAATTCCTGCCATTTCTTCCCCATGGACACAAGGGAGGCACTGATGACAAAGAAGGATCTGACTACTGAGGAAACTTAACTAAACATTCTTGTTTTAGAATGCAGTAAGCCAACAAGATTTTTTCAAGTGTGTTCGTTTCCCGGGGTTGCTGTAAAAGGAACCTATCATAAAATGGTGGCCTGAAACAATAGAAATGTATTATCTCACAGTTCTGGAGGCCGGAAGTCTAAATCGAAGTTTTTGTCAAAGTTGGTTTCTACTGAAGGCTCTGAGGAAGAATCAGTTCCAGGCTTCTCTCTGGGTGTCTGGTTGCCTGAAGTCCTTGGCATCATGTGGCTTTTAGACGCACCACTCCAGTCTCTCCCTTACCTTCACATGGCATTATTCCCTGTGCGTCTCTGTGCCCAAATTTCGTCTTCTTATAAGTCATGAGTCATATTGGATTGAGGTCCTACCCTAATCCAGTATAGCCCCATATTACTTTAACTAATCATATCAGCCAAGACTCTATTTCCATGTATGGTTACATGCACAGGTATTGTTGCTTATGACTTCAACATATTTTGAGGAACACATTTCAGCCTGTAACATATGATTATTCTCTGTTCTATGCTATTCATCCATTTAACAAATGTTTATTTTATGCCTACGGTATGCCAATCACTGTGCTAAGCTTATAGAGTACTACATATTATTAGGTAATTACCTTTCTTCTGGCATTAAAAACAGAACTTTGGAGTTTTCTTTTATGGAACATGGTTTAGTGGCAAAAAATCAACTGCTGCTTACAGACACAAGTAAAAAGCAATCAGAAGCTAAGCATAAAATTCAGAAGGATTAACGCATTTGCCATGGGAACGTAGACTGTTTCCCTAGCACCTGCTCTCCCGACAGTAAGTTAAGCAACAAGCTGATTCTAGCCCTCAGACTTCAGGCTCCCTCTCCTGAGCTTTAAGAATCCCCAAACCTCTAAGTCCCTGTTCCCTCACAGCACAATTGTGAATGTTGTTGCCCTCACTGAATCCTTAATAAAGTCAAGTTAGCAGAGGCTATTTATCTCACAAAACATTATTTAAGTCTCAGCAAAAGCTTAATGGAATTCCATTTAAGACCAAGGTGGAGTCACTTAACATTATAGAATAAAAGTAAACATTTTGTATTATACATGATTATTGACATCCTTTACTAGCATCTAGTCATTAATATGCTACTACATTGCTTTCTATATTAGGTATCTATGAGTTTAAAATGTGCTGTGTCCTCAGATAAATTGGAACAAAGGAAACCTGAGCAAGATTGGTACATATGAACTGAGCTATAAAGAATACATAGGAGATAACCAAGTGAAGAGGCTAGAGGATGCATCCCAGGCTGAGGGAGCAGAGTACAGGAACTCTGTGAAAGGAGGCTGCTGTAGCTGAAGTGTGGGAGCCAGGGGGATGTGATGCCAAGGGAGAGTAAAAAGGTAGGCACAAGCTAGACATTTGAGGGCCTTGTAAACATAGTAAGCTTTTTAAATTTTTCTTTATCCTAAGAGGAACAGAAAGCATTAAAGGGTTTTAGTTTTTAATAGGGTAGAAAGGGATTTGACCAGCTTTTCTTTTAAAAATTCTGTACAAGCAGACTGGGCACAACTCATGCCTGTAATCCCAGCACTTTGGGAGGCTGAGACAGGCAGCTTACCTGAGGTCAGGAGTTCGAGACCAGCCAAACCAACATGGAGAAATCCTGTCTCCACTAAAAATACAGAATTAGGCAGGCATGGTGGCACATGCCTGTAGTCCCAGCTACTTGGGAAGCTGAGGCAGCAGAATCGCTTGAACCAGGAGGCGGAGGTCGCAGTGAGCCAAGATTGTGCCATTGCACTCTAGCCTGGTCAATAAGAGCGAAACTTTGTCTCAAAAAACAAAAAACAAAAAACAAAAAAAAAAAAGAGAGAGAGAGAAAGTCTGCACAAGCTGAAATATCAAGAACAGATTAGAAAAGGCCAGGCCGGGCGCGGTGGCTCAAACCTGTAATCCCAGCACTTTGGGAGGCCGAGGCGGGTGGATCACGAGGTCAAGAGATCGAGACCATCCTGGTCAACATGGTGAAACCCCGTCTCTACTAAAAACACAAAAAATTAGCTGGGCATGGTGGCGCGATCTTGTAATCTCAGCTACTCAGGAGGCTGAGGCAGGAAAATTGCCTGAACCCAGGAGGTGGAGGTTGTGGTGAGCCGAGATCGCGCCATTGCACTCCAGCCTGGGTAACAAGAGCGAAACTCCGTCTCAAAAAAAAAAAAAAGAAAGAAAGAAAGAAAGAAAGAAAGAAAGAAAAGGCCAATAGCAGATATGAGGAGACCAGTTAGAAGGCCATTAGCATAGCTGAGTCAGGAGACAGCAGTAGCATGGATGCCATCTGTAGTGACCGGGGACAATGAGGAAAGTAGACAAATTTGATATATCTAGGAGTTAAAATGAACTGGATTTGGTAATAGAGATGAGGAAGGTGTCACAAATAATTTTTAGGTTTTAGGTTTGAAAAACTGGATAGAACTGTTGCTAATCCCTGGGATTTAAAAATAAACAACCAAAACAACAACAGCAAAAACATCAGGAGAAAATTTGAATCATGTGGCACATAAGATCATTAGTTCTCTTTGGATATGTTGAGCTTGAAGTTTCTTGTGATTTTAGTGGCCTTTTTCAATAGGTAGTCTTGATTTTGTAGCCCAAAGAAGAAATCTGGACAACATGGAGGTTATTGTTATCTTAGTAAGAGCTGTTTTGGTAGAAAGAAGGAGACTGAAGCAAAATTAGAATAGATTTAATGGGGAAGGAAAAGGAGGAGGCAGATGGGAATATACAAAACTCTTCCAATTCTATTTCATTTGTCTTTGAAAGCCAACACCTCATTTTCTCTGACCCTTAGCCCATGTAGCCAGAAAATGGTCTCTCCACAACTCCTGCATTTGTATTTTATAGATCCAGTCATTCATCCAGATTGTCAGTTTCTAAATCATAGTTTCAAATGCCAGGGGAAGTAGATTACTATTCCTAACCAGCTTGTTTCTAAACAGCTATAACAAGAAAATCAAAGTCACATGGTAAAAACGCAGCTGTTGAGGAGCACTTTGATAACTCTGTGAAATTGGAGACTGTTAACAGTTAGCTAGCAAATATCATGAAAAATGTTTTCTATTTTCAGCATGAAAAATATCTACTACCCCTTCCCAAAGATTAAAAATTGAACTCTGGTTTAATACAAATGCTAGCATAAATTTAATATTCCAGATTATTTTAAAACAAAACTGAGGTTAAACATTGAGGGTAGAATTAGCTAGGGGTTAGTCATTGAGAAAATGCCTGAGACTTAGATGGGAAGACACATACACACACTCACACCCATACTCACACACACACTCTCTCTCTCTCTCTCATTCACACACACACACACACACACACACACACACAATGATAGATGCAGAGAGACAGAGACAGATATATGGAAATAGACACGTGTACACTCTTCACAGTCTCCAAAATTACCATCCCCTTTCTCTCTTCACATGTCTGGAACAATATTTTTCTTTAATCTTCATCACTTAGGGCACATATGGAAACCGAGTATGTTTCTATATTATCCTTCTTAGTGATTTTTAAGCTACATGACTTTCAAGGCTCTCTTTTCATTTTATGCTTCCTAAAACAATTAAAATTATCTGTCTTTAACAATATAAATACCACATAATTGCTTAATCCACCTGATATCCTATCACACATACCTTGTTTAAAACATATTTTTGAATAAATTAATTGCCCATTTTAATAGATAAACTACATTGATTTAAAGACCTAAAATGTTCAGGCATATTTTATGTCATGGTCTAAGGGCAAACAAGTACCTATATTATTTATTATTTATTATTTCACAAAACTTTTATCTGTCTTCCACACATAATCTGATTATAAAATGTCTTTTTTAAAAGTGATATGCCAAAGGGTTTTATGAAATGGGCTACAAATTTTAGCCATACTTTCAGAAAATCTCAATTCACCTAAAAACCTTCAAAATAGTATATTATTTTAAAAACTGTCTTTATTTTATTAGGAGAGCTGACCAGTTAATCCAGGAAGATAAGGATGATGTCATTCCATACTGCATAGCCACTGGCGATGTGAAAAAACTAGTTCATTTTTTCATGTCAAGAGGTCAGCTTAAAGAAGCTCTGCTTGTTGCACAGGTACAAGCACATAATTACCCCAGCCGCATGCACGGATGGGTGGGCATGTAGAAGGGAGAAGATTGTGTTGACTGGCTCACCCACACAGAATTGACAAAGTCATAAAGGGCCTGGCTACTGCCCTCCTCACTGGCATTCTATTTCATCATTTTAGATCATACTATTTTTTTTTTCTGGTCACAATGAACTTATTGTATTTTATTTTAGTATTTATTTATTTATTTTGAGATGGAATCTCACTCTGTCACGCAGGCTGGAGTGCAATGGCATGATCTCAACTCATCACAACCTCCACCTTCCCAGTTCAAGCAATTCTCCTGCCTCAGCCTCCCGAGTAGCTGAGATTACAGGCACGCACCACCACACCCGGCTAATATTTGTATTTTTAGTGGAGATGGGGTTTCTCCCTGTTGGCCAGACTGGTCTCAAACTCCTGGCCTCAGGTGATCCTCCTGCCTCAGCCTCCCAAAGTGCTGGGATTACAGGCATGAGACACCACACCCAGCTCAATTTACTTCTGATCTTTAAACACACGAGCATCTCTGAACTCTAAACTTTTCACGTGCTGCTGAATGTTATATACCATCTATTTGAAAAACATTTTTTTAGTAATAATTTACTGGAAGATTTTTGCTACACACAATTAACATCTCATTTCTCAAATGCTAAGATTATCTCCAAATTGTAGTATAAATTTCAAACATTATTTAAGTATACTTTGCTAAAAATAGTATTCTGAAAATTTTCAGCTATCAATAATTAGCTAAAGAATAATATTTAATTAAATTGTAGGCTTCTTGTGAAGGAAATATGCAAACCTTACATGTTTCTACACCTAACGGAGCTTCATATTCTGATGATATCTACAAGGAGGACTTCAATGAGTGAGTGATTTATTTGCTTTGGGTCCGTATGGTTGTCTTCCCTTTAGGAATTTTTGAAACCTCTGTAATTCATCCTTCTTTGTATACTGAGGACTTGACTGCCTCAGCCACACTTCTCACCATGATCCAGTTCAATTACAGCATCTACTCCTAAATGAACTGGAAAATTCAGGCATGGAGACAGTTTATACACATTTTATATAGCTTTCAGAAAAGCAAAATGCATCTCACTAGACAGATTGCAAGTAAAGCACTACACACTTAAAAACTAATCAAACCTGGAGAGGACCAATGATGAAAATAAGGTGGGCAGGGCACAGTGGCTCACACTTGTAATTCCAGCACTTTGGGAAGCTGAGGCAGGAGCTCAGGAATTGCCTGAGCTCAGGGGTTCAAGACCAGCCTGGGCAACATGGTGGAACCCGATCTCTACTAAAAATAGAAAAAAATAGCTGAGCATGGCAATGTGTGCCTGTAGTTCCAGCTACTCGGGAGGCTGAGGCAGAAGAATTGCTTGAACCCGGGAGACAGAGGTTGCAGTGAGCCAAGATTGCACCACTGCACTCCAGCCTGGGTGACAGTCAGACTCTGTCTCCAAAAAAAATAAAATAAAAAAAGAAAGAAAATAAGATTGACTGCTTATTCATGTTTTAATCTAAAGTCAGTGTATATAAGTTCACAGTAATGTAGTTTATAATCCTGTGACCCCACTATTGGTGTCTAAAATAGCATTTGGTCCTCTTTTAAAGAAGAAATCCCGATACTTATTTTAAAAAAGAAATGGAAATTAGAATTTTTCAGCCTTTTAACCTTTTTTTAATCCAGTAGTCTGCCTTCCCCTATCCTTTCTATTTGCTCCTATTATTACCCTAGAAAATAGGATATTTAAACTTTTAAGACACTCATCGAGTAGAAGAGGATCATAAAATGTTAAGCAAATAATGTGCTAGGAATAATGTATTCTTGCCTGGATCTTTACTGCCATTCTCTGCCATTTCTAAGCTTGACATTTTAAAAAGCTAACATATGCTGGCTGTATTTTAGATCCCACCTAAATTTTGAAAAATTTCAGTTCAACCTGTAATTCTTCTAAGCTTAACTTCCCCTATAGCTGAGTCATAAATCATCTGATTCATGATGGTAGGCTTTTAAAATCAGACTTGTCTTCTGATAGTTGTAGGTATTGAGGGAGATAGAGGCTTCTCAGAGCATATACTTGGAAAGACCCGTTTCCTGATTTTTTTTTTTTTTTTGAAAAACAAGTCTTTAAATCAAGCATGTCAAATTCAATTTTATTTGGTCTTTTTAACATCCCTTTTAAAAAGTATGAGTTCACTTTTATGATGGAATATGTGTTTATATAGATTACATACATTTTTTTCTTTCTAGACTCCTGCACACAGTCAGTCAAGAACTGGCAGAATGGTATTTTCAAGACGGCCGGGCAGCCCTAGCTGCATGTTGCCATCTTGCCGTAGATAATATTGAGGTACGACACTTAAAATTGGTTTATGTGAATGGAAAGTTGTTTAGATAGTATCATGGTGTTTCAGAGGAAAAGATACAGTAACTTTCTGTGTGAGATCTGGTTTTGCATCCCCTCCAAGCCTGAGTAATTAAGTAATTGCATTCCTAATTAGCATACATAAACTATGAGCTCTTGTTTTAAGCACACATGAACTGTGAGTGCTTGTTTTCTTTTATTTCTACCACAAGACACATATTTGTTAACAACCTTGCTTTAAACATTTTGTCACATATGACAAGCACCCGTATAGTAAAGGGAACACTCACTAGACTTGGACCCAAAATATCTGAGTCTTGTTCCTCTTACATATTGGCTTTGTGTACATCATTGAACCCTCAGAATCTCAAATGTCTTCAAATCTAAAATGAAAACATGAACATCTGACTCACATATTTCTCATGTGGTTGTTAGGATTATGAGAAAAAATACAAATGAAAGCACTTATTTTTCAGTATATTATTCATGAGTTATATTTTTAAGGTACCTTTTACTTGATGACTCACTAATTTAATAAGGAAAATGTTAAGTAAAGATAGAGATTCTATTTCGATATTAAGTAATAATAAGTAATCTAATATCCTTAGATATATTGGCTTTAGGAAATGATAGACAACTTGCATAATCTTGAAGAAGCTCTTAAAATTTTACATTTTTTTCTGATATGCAGATTGAAGGACATATTGAGAATATTGTAGAGTGTTATTAATTAATGACAGAAATAGAACCAAGGGTTCTAAACTCTTCAATTCTGCCCTGATAAAATTTTCTGTATGTCTCATTAATAACTTTTCCACCTAAAAGTTGCAATTACTCTTACATATCTACTTTATAGGAATATTACAGTCAATATTTTATAAGAATAATTGATTTATAGGTTAATACTGCTTTATCTGCTTTATGAGCTTGGAGGGGAATGATGATCCTACCCAGCATCTATGCAACTGAAGAAATTATTTTCTTATTGAGCAAGCTTGCTATGGCATACCTGATTCGTGGAAATGAACTGGAGTTGGCAGTCTGTGTGGGCACAGTACTAGGAGAGTCTGCAGCACCAGCAACCCACTATGCCCTAGAATTACTGGCAAGAAAGTGCATGATGATTTCAGTATGGTAAGAATTTTGAAATTCAAAAAATAATTTTATAGTGACAGAATACATTTTTAAAATATTATAAATTCCATTTGATAAGATATGCATTGAGGAGCATACACACTGGGGTCTGTAGGGGGGATCTAGGGGAGGGACCGCAGGGGATGGGGAGTTGGTGAGGGGTAACACGGGGAGAAATGCCAGATATAGGTGATGGGGAGGAAGGCAGCAAACCACATTGCCATGTGTGTACCTATGCAACAATCTTGCATGTTCTTCACATGTACCCCAAAACCTAAAACGCAATTAAAAAAATTATATATATATATACACATACATACATACATACACATGTACATATAAAGAAAATCAAATCAGATTCTTAAAGAATTTTGATAGGGCCGGGCGTGGTGGCTCAAGCCTGTAATCCCAGCACTTTGGGAGGCCGAGGCGGGTGGATCACGAGGTCGAGAATTCGAGACCATCCTGTTCGACATGGTGAAACCCCGTCTCTACTAAAAATAAAAAAAATCAGCTGGGCATGGTGGCGCGTGCCTGTAATCCCAGCTACTCAGGAGGCTGAGGCACGAGAATTGCCTGAACCCAGGAGGCAGAGGTTGCGGTGAGCCGAGATCGCGCCATTGCACTCCAGCCTGAGTAACAAGACCGAAACTCCGTCTCAAAAAAAAAAAAAAAAAAAGAATTTTGATAGGAAGAAAGTATTTGCCAGTAAATAAACCCTAGACTACGAAGTTAAAAAAAAAAAAGACATGCATTGGGAGAATATAGGATCACCTTGTTTATAAAGGATAAGATTATGGAAGGAAATGATGATATAACAGTGTTGTAATGGTGAGAACTACCATGGCTGTATAATGAAATCTGCCACGATCCATTCTGAAGTAGCCCAGTTGTAATTCCATAATGTTTTGAGCACCTATAATATCATGAGACAACAAATGTACTCTTCATAAGATGACCAGAACACATATTCCCACATCTTAAAATTCTGCATATCTATACTTTTTTTTCTTGTCAGATCTTGTGTCCTATTTTAAATTTGGACAATAAAGTCACTTTTCTAATGTAAAGCAGTAACAAAAATGGTTTTGCTGGGCACTTGAAACAGGACATCTCCCCAGACTCTGGCAATATCCAAAGAAATAGACCCTGGGAATTAACCAGAGTAGCTGAGAAATCCAGAGCAAAGCAATTCTATATCTGCAGAGTCCTGGCCTTAAGTCAGACAATCCATTAGTACGGAGGTTCTATTAGGAAAGAAGTGATTCTGTATTTCAGTAGATGTTTATCGAATAAAGATTATTTTAGATTTTTATCCTTTTTTCTCTCAAATACTTAGGACCTCAAGAGGTTTCTGAATTAATTTGTTTATCAGGAGTATGACCTTTTCCCATTACAAATCCCATGCACGCACACACCCCACCCTTAAGATGGAGCTATACAGATGACTATAACTATTGAACACTATAATTGGTAATGATAATAATGAATGCTAACTAACACTTCTATACTGCTTACTCTGTGCCAAGCACTATGTTAAGTACTTTATATGTAAAAATTCACTAGGTTCTATGTGGTAGCTTTTAATTTTCTTCAAGTCTCAGTAAGAAGCATAGCCAAGATTCAAAGCTACATAAATCGGCTCTGAAGTTTGCATTCCTAGGTATCAGACTATTCAGGGTGAGCATCCCTAATCCAAAAATCCAAAATCCAAAATGCTCCAAAATCCAAAACTTTTCAGGTGTTGACATGAGACTACAAGTGGAAGATTCCTTGCATAAGTACACAAAAAAGTACTTAATGCACAAATTATTAAAAATATTGTATAAGATCACCTTCAGTCTGTTTGCATAAGGTATATATGAAACATAGCCTTGGGTCCCATCCCTTAGATATCTTACTATGTATATGCAAATGTTCTAAAATCTAAAAAAGTCTGAAATCTGAAACACTTTTGGTCCCAAGCATTTCAGATGAAGGATACCCAACCTGTATCACTTCCTTATTTGGAGCTAACTCGGAAGAAGAGCAACCTTGCAGTCTTCTTTTTTGTCTGAATCTGAAGGTCTTATAGTGAATCAGGAATTTCAGAGTTGTTTTAATTTTTACTTATATCTTACATTAATGTAAGTGTTGCCTTCCCCCACTAAAATGTAATAGTACTCTACCATCAGTTGTAGACTTCAGTGTATTTAATGGTGAGTCTCCTCTGAGACAATCTAGTTATCCCTCTGTCAAGAACTAAAATAGTCAGTTACATAGAGACTTGCCTTCATCTCAAAGCATTAATTCTAATTCAAATTATTTGTTCAGGAACGTGGCTGACTTTATGCTAAAATTTATCATCAAATGAAAGGGGATTTATTTTTAAAAAGTGAAGGTAAAAAGCACAGTGGTTCATGCCTGTAATGCCAGCACTTTGGGAGGCCAAGGCGAGTGTATCAACTGAGGTCAGGCAATCAAAGCCAGCCTGGCAAACATGGTGAAACACCATCTCTACTAAAAATGCAAAAAAAAAAAAAAATTAGCCAAGCATGGCAGTGGGCACCTGTAATCCCAGCTACTCGGGAGGCTGAGGCAGGAGAATCACTTGAACTCAAGAGGTGGATGTTGCAGTGAGCCAAGATCACAACACTGCACTCCAGCCTTGGCAACGAGAATGAAGCTTTGTAAGAAGAAGAAAAGGAGGAGGAGGAGGAGGAGGAGGAGGAGGAGGAGGAGGAGGAGGAGGATGGGGGGAGGAGGGGGAGGGGAGGGGAGAGGGGGAGGGGGAGGGGAAGGGGAGGAGGAGAAAAAAAAAAGACAGCGAAAGAGAAATACAGTATGCAGTTGACCCTTGCATAATATGATGGTTAGGCATGCTAACCCCCCCTCAAGCAGTCCAAAATCCATCTGTAACTTCCAACTCCCTCAAAACTTAACTACTAATAGCCTACTGTTGACTGGAAGCCTTACTGATAACATTAACATCCAATTAAAACCTATTTTGTATCCTGTATGTATTACTATATTCTTACAATAAAGTAAATTGGAGAACAGAAAATGCTATTAAGAAAATTGTAAGGAAGAGAAATCGATTTATTATTCATTAAATGGAAGTGGGTCGTAATAAAAGTTTTCATCCTCATTGTCTTCATACTGAGTTCAAACCCATTTTGTAACATCATATGTTACATAATATGATTAAACATTTTTCAATTCCCTATGTCTTAGTTACTTTTAAGAAAAAACAAACTTATTTCTTGTGACTCCCCTACCCCAAGAGTTCTTTTTTAATATATCCATAGATATGTGTACCAGAATCCAGGAAACAATTTAAATATGGTACTGATTAGCTTTATTTTCAGGAGAAATCTGTAATCCTCATGGCTGTTAGTAGAGTTGCACAGATTTTGAAAAGATAGCTATATGATTTATAAAGAATGTGCATAATTTTTAAACATTTCATGTTTTTTACATTTACTGGTAAAATCTGTTTCTTCTTGATGTTCATCATATAATCATGGTATTCATATTTAATATTTTCTTTTAGCTTTCCATCTGTTGGATACAGGTATTATCTACTTTTATTTAAAAACATGTTCATTTAAAAATTTATGCATGCCTTTATTTTATAACTTGAATACTATCTCTATATTAAGAAATATTTATTAACTATTTTCACATCGTTTTATGGCCAATTCATATACTACATACCATATATGGTATGCCAATTCACATACCATAATTTTATATGCTATAATTCATAGCCCATGAAACCTGACTATGAAGTAATGAGAAAAGTTCCTATAATCACTCATGATTTTATAGTTAAAAGTTATACAATAAATGAACTGTGACTTTGTGCAATACCAAATAATGGCTAAGTCAGCTAAGCAGAATAAAATACCTGTTCTGATAGTGAAATTTTAGATTTTAGATCATTTGATTGGTCTATTTCATTTTTATATGTACATTTCTCCCTATTCATGTACTGAATTCTCAAAAAAGAGTGAATATGATTAAATGTTGAAGGAAATTAACTGGTTTTGCTGCAAATTTCACTGTATAAAGACATAATTCTACATTAAGAATGTCAGATTTTGTCTACAGTTCATTGATGTTTGAATAGAATTTTAGCACAGCTATTTTATATACAGTAAACGCAAATGATAATTTCTATATTTTCATGGACATTATTTAAAACTGTTATTAAATTTTGATAGAAAGAAACACATGATGTCATTTATACATTTTAGCAAGAACAGCTAAACTACTCTAATTTGGAACCTGCCCAATGTAACAGAAAATGTAGCAGTTTTGAAAGATATTATGTATAACTTTTAAATGGCTAGAGGAAAATAATATGAAAAATTATTGTAATCTTTTGGCAATTCTCTTGACATTATCTAGAAAATTGTTAGTAAAATGTCAAATTATCAAAATATTTTATGTAAAAAACTTCACTAAAGTTTTTTTTATTCTAAAAACATCAAAGTAAGCCTCAGTTAAAATGTTACTATCCTGATAGTTTGTGATTTTTTTTTTAGTAAAATTTTGGATTTCACACCAGAGGTTGCAAATTATCTCTATTCCTATTCAATATTCATTATATTCTTAATTAAGCACCTCATAAATTTTAAAAAAGAATTGATTTACTTAAATGACTGATGTAGATTTTACCGACATCTTCACAAAGAAGGTAAAATAGGCTTTTACTCTCAGAGGCCCCAGCTTAGGGCTTTATAAATTCTCATGTGAAATATCACCTTATTCTAATGTCACCTATTCTGTATGGCTATACATCAATTTTTTAAAAACAGAATATCTTCAATTATTGAAAGTTAAGTTCTCAGTTATAATGCATGCCTCCAAAAACTCCTCACCTAGTGATTTTAAGAGGATTTTACAGAAAATATTTTAATATAAATCTTCTAAGTACATACCATTTTATATTTTTAAAAGCCTTAAGTGTTTTATTCCATTGATTGAATCTTTAAAAAGTAAATAGGCCAGAATTGGTGGCTCATGCCTGTAATCCCAACACTTTCGGAGGCCAAGGTTGGTGGATCGCTTGAAGCCAGGAGTTTAAGATCAGCCTGGCCAACATGGTGAAACCCCATCTCTACTAAAAATACAAAAATTGGCCGGGCATGGTAGCACACACCTGTGATCCCAGCTAGCAGGGAAGCGAAGGCTCAAGATTACTTGAACCCAAGAGGCAAAGGTGAGCTGAGATCCTGCCACTGCATTCCAGCCTGGGTGACAGAGGGAATAAGAGTATGCCTCAAAAGAAAAAAAAAAAAAAAGTAAATAAGAAAACCACATTTTTATCTTTAATTTCTATTTATTGTTTAAGAAATAAGTGGGATACCAAAATTAGGAACTTAACTCAATATTCCACTGGTTTCATTGATCTAGCTAATACAATTTTTCAATATTGACAGGCATAACAAAAGTTGATGAGAGTTAATTTTCACAATGTTTGCTTTGTAATTCACTTCAAAGCACATATTCAAAACTACTTAGTTGATTAGAGAATTATTCAGTAATAATAAAATTAATTACAAGTATGTTAAGACTCATATATGTAAAGTTTAGGTTTTTTAATATTTAGGAATTTATAAATACATTTGTCTTTCATGACCTTTGGTTTGGGCAATCTGCATTTAAAGTAGTTCCCTAAGTACGTAGGTAATTAGTAATGTTTTCACAAATGGAAAAGCAAGAGCAGCATATTATGTGAATTTCCTTTCTTTGAGATAGTTATGAATGTGATTTTTAGAACGTTTCCTCAGTGAAGTATCTCCTTTTGTTATGTTAACAGGAATTTGGCAGCCGATCTTCTCCTGATGATTCCTGATAATGAACTACATTTAATAAAACTCTGTGCTTTCTACCCAGGGTGTACTGAAGAGATAAATGACCTTCACGATAAGGTATGCTGATGATATCAAATACTGTGGTTTGGAATGCAGTGCTATGATGATTATTTTTTTTTTATTTTACTTTAAGTTCTGGAGCACATGTGCAGATCTTGCAGGATTGTTACATAGGTATACATGCATGTGTTACATAGGTATACACATGCCATAGTGGTTTGCTGCCTCCATTCCCCCCCACACCTTAACTTACATTAGGTATCTCTCCTAATGTTATCCCTCCCCAATCTCTCCACTCCCTGCTTTCCCTCCCCTAGACAACAGCCCCTAACAGACTCCAGCGTGTGATGTTCCCCTCCCTGTGTGCACATGTTCTCATTGTTCAACACCCACTTATGAGTGAAAACATGCAGTGTTTGGTTTTCTGTTCTTTTGTCAGTTTGCTGAGAATGATGGTTTCTAGATTAATGCATGTCCCTGCAAAGGACATGAACTCATCGTTTTTTATGACTGCATAGTATTCCATGGTATATATGTGCCACATTTTCCTTGTCCAGTCTATCTTCAATGGGCATTTGGGTTGGTTCCTAGTCTTTGCTATTGTAAACAGTGCTGCAGTGAACATATGTGTACATGTGTCTTTATAATAGAACAATTTATAATCCTTTGGGTATATACCCAATAATGGGGTTGCTGGGTTAAATGGTATTTCTATTTCCAGATCCTTGAGGAATTGCCACACTGTCTTCCACAATGGTTGAACTAATTTACACTCCCACCAACAGTGTAAAAGTGTTCCTATTTCTCCACATCCTGTCCGACATCTGTTGTCTCCAGATATTTTAATGATCGCCATTCTAACTGGTGTGAGATGGTATCTCAATGTGGTATTGCCTAGGTTTTCCTCTAGGGTTTTTATTGTATTAGCTCTTATGTTTAAATCTTTAATTCATCTGGAGTTAATTTTTATATAAGGTGTAAGGAAGGAGTCCGGTTTCAGCTTTCTGTACATGGCTAGCCAGTTTTCCCAACACCATTTATTAACTAATTATAGGTTTAAGCAAACAGAGATGCCTGCAGATAAACAAATGTATGGTGCCTTTGGGATACCTTTAAGTACAACAAAAATGGTAAGAATAAGAAGTAACATTTATTGAACTTCTGCTAAGTGCTTGGCACTCTTCTAAATCTTTATGTATATTTGTGTCTTCGTTCTCATAAAACGTTGAAAAGCAAGGGATAATTATACAAAGAAAACTCAGAGATGGTAAGGAACTTGCCCAAATTACTTAGTGGTGGAGTGAGAATTTCAACTGCAGCCAGTCTAACTCCAAATCCCAAGTGTTTTCCACTGTACACTTTGCATCTTGAAGTATGTTGTAGGATAACTTTTTAAAATAGACAGCTTAGGATCCTTAAAAGAATTAATGAAATATAATGAAATTTACATGCATTTTTCTAAAGTGCTTTAAAAATACATATTTGCAGAATGTAGGAATCCATGCATCAATATTATATGTGAAAACCAAAATTTCAGTAGAAGATTATTTATATTAAATTATAGTACATTTCTATATTTCAGTGCTATTAATCTATTAAAAATCATGAAGCTCTATTTTTATTGACATGAATATATGGTTATGAAACATTTAAATAGAAAGCAGATCACAAAACTATGCATAGGCCATATGATTTTGGTTTGAAAATAACTGTGAATGTACATATTTGTTTTGTTTATAGCATATTTAGGAAGATACCTACAATTTCTTTTAAGAAAATGATGAGATATAAGTAATATTTTCTCATCTTGAACTTCTAAAATAACGAAGTTTTGTTTCACTTATTTGAACCTTGATTTTTTTATGCCTAGTGAGTGAGTAGCCCTATTCATTAGCAGCAGATATTTATTGAGTATTGTATTAATACAGATTGGCCAAAAGTGTGTGTGAGAGAGAATGTATAGATGGATATGTGTATGTGAATGTGTTTGTGTTGAGAAAGGGAAAATACTTGTGAATGGATAAATGTCCAAAGTTACAAGTGGGTTATGAGATGATAGGATATTTTAACTACTTTATATGCTTTGTAGTCTGTGAATTATTTGTTTTTAAAGCTATGCTTTTTTTTTAGCATAACAACTAAAAGCTATTTTATGTTGAAATTAAAATGCATTTGAAAGAAAGTGGGAGTTTTAAAATTATGCATTCTCTGGTAGTGTTTGCATGTACACTAACAGATATCCTCTGAGGCAGAAGGCACAGATGTTAATGTCAAGGCTCAGAGAGGCTAAATGACTTGTCTAAGCTTTAAGACTTAAGCTAATGACCTCACTTATTATTTTCAGATCTTAAAGATATTTCCATAAGTAAATGTTCTTAATTCAAATAATTTTATTTATATCATTTAGGACAACCTTAATAAGAAAACCACACTACTAATATTGGAAATATTTAGTAGTTGTACTGTTTTTTATTCCTATAAATTTTACTAACATTGTCAAACGACTTATTTTCTAGTGCAAGCTACACACAGTAGAAGAATTTATGCAGTTAGCTGAGACAGCTTTTAATGATAAGGCAAGAATATTATTCACCTCATGTTTCCATCACACATTCTAAAAGGACATAATTAGACTTTCTGGTCAGACTTCCCTTATTACTTTTTAGAAAGACTAGTGAGTAGGTGTAAAGGTGTTAATAACTCTGAACAGTTTCACAAGTACAGATGCTCCTCAACTTACTATGGAGTTACAATGGATAAACTGATCATAAGTTGAAAATATTCTAAGTCAAAAATGTGTTTAACACACCTCACCTACCAAACATCGTAGCTTAACCTAGCCTCCCTTAAATGTACTCAGAACACTTAGATTAGCCGACAGTTGGACAAAGTCATCTAACACAAAGCCTATTTTATAAAAATAATACCTTATGTAATTCATTAAATACTGTAATAAAAGTAAAAAACAGGGCCAGGCACGGTGGCTCACGCCTGTAATCCCAGCACTTTGGGAGGCCGAGGCGGGTGGATCACGAGGTCGAGAGATCGAGACCATCCTGGTCAATATGGTGAAACCCCGTCTCTACTAAAAATACACAAATTAGCTGGACGTGGTGGTGCCTGCCTGTAATCCCAGCCCGGGAGGCTGAGGCAGGAGAATTGCTTGAACCCAGGAGGCGGAGGTTGCGGTGAGCTGAGATTACGCCACTGCACTCCAGCCTGGGTAACAAGAGCGAAACTCCGTCTCAAAAAAAAAAAAAAAAACAGAATGGTTGTGTGGGTATTCAAAGCACAGTTTCTACTGAATGCATGTCACTTTCACACTACCATAAAGTCAAAACATAAGTTGGGGACTATCAGTAACACTAAAAACTATATATTCACATGTGCCATTTACTTATATAACAACTTTTAGAATTTTTAATGATATAGGATAAAAATTACAAGGATGATCATCTTACCCTTCTTCTTATATTTGAAAATGAAATTTAAATGGGAGTCATTTTTTATTCCCTCTATGCTGTGAGCATTTACCAAGGTGAAGAACGTATGTTTCTATCTAGCCAAGCACAGTACCTACCATGTAGTAGTTGCTTAGTAAAGAACTGGCATTTCATGAGTAAGGATGGGGAAACAATATGAAATGTTATATATATGAGATCCCCTTAATTCAGTCCGTTGTAATTTTTTTGAGAGAGAGATTGAGATGTAAAATGTTCGTTTTACCTAATTTTTAAACAATAAATATGAAATGAATGCATTAATAAATTGAAACAAACCATGAAATTATTTATCGACATTGTTTACAAACTTACAATTACAAACACATCAGAACTGTTATAAAAGGTAACTTATTGATTACCTACATTATATGGAAGCAGACCAAATTACTTGAGGGAGGATCAGAGTCTCAATTTTAACAACAACAACAAAAAATTTAATGGGGAATGTGGCTTTTTATTTTATAGTAATGAAATTATTTCATGGCATTTCAAAATGTCAAAGCTAAAAACTTTTAGAGCTTCTACATTTTTTGTGTCTCTGAAATAAGGTTGCTTTGTTTCAAAAGCCAAGTGAAGTTAAATTAGAATGTAGAGGACATGTAATAATGCACACCGTTTATATTTGGTGCATTTAATGTAGTTTTTGATAATGATCAATATATTTTTTCTAACATAATTAATCTCATCATTTGGGTGTTATATTGCATTTATGGGTGCTAATTCCAGTATCACAATCAGGACAATTTATTTTTATTTCTTGTATTAGATATTCATGTGATGGTAAACTACTGACTCATTAGCTAATATCCCCTCTTACTGTTTTTAGATCTTAAAGGTATTTCCATAAATATATTCTCTTAATTCAAGTAATTTCATTTACATCCATTTTAGACAACTTTAATAAGAAAACCATACTAGGAAAATTGAAAGTATTTTGTACTTACACTATTGTTTTTATCCCTGTGAATTTTAGTAACATTATTTTCAAATCAATTATTTTCTAGTGTAAGCTACCCACAGTCGAAGAATGTATGCAGTTAGCTGAGACAGCCCATGTAGATGACAATATCTTTGAAACTGTAAAATATTACTTGTTAAGTCAAGAACCTGAAAAAGCCCTTCCTATTGGTATTAGCTTTGTTAAAGGTAAGTTTTTAGTTGGTAGTATAATTTAAAATATACTCATTTATTTGATCTTTGTATTCATATTAATGATTGTTTTACTTCATTTTTTCATTGCTATAAATACCTGAGGCTGGGTAATTCATAAAGAAAATAGATTTATTGGCTCATGGTTCTGCAGGCTGTACAAGAAGCATGACACTGGCATCTGCTCAGCTTCTGGTGAGGCCTCAGGAAACTTTTAGTCATGGCAGAAGGTGATACATGAGCAAGCATATCACTTGGTGAGAGCAGCAGCAGAGAGAAGAGAGGAAGTGAGAGAAAGAGAGAGAGGGAGGGAGGTGCCACACTCTTAAACAACCAGATCTTGTGTGGACTCAGAACAAGAACTCACTCACTCATTACCAAGGGGATTGCACTAAGAAACTCTTAAGGAATCCACCTCCATAATCCAAACACCTCCTCATTCCAACACTGGGGATTACATTTCAACATGAGCTCTGGAGAGGACAAACATCCAAACTATATCAATGATCAGCCTTAAAACCAAGAACTAGTCATCCTAAATAAAAAGGAGAGTGATACTGATGTGAAATATGGCATCTCTTCCAATTTTATGGTATGGGGTCCTGAGAGAGGATGAACAGGAAAATACTTGTGATCTAGAAGATAAAAGGTAGGTAGGACTGACTGACAGAAAATTAATTATATAAGTTAAAAAATGGAGGAATAAATTTTCAGACTATTATTTAATGAATCTTTCATCTGGTTTCATTTTTCCAGAACACATCAGTAGTTCAGACTGGACTTTGGATACCATATACCCTGTTCTTGACCTATTGAGCTATATTCGTACTGAAAAATTACTCTTGCATACATATACTGAGTGAGTACTTTTCTGCAACATGTATAAGTAAATCTATGTGATATTTTAAAGTGGCTCCATTGTTTTTGGTATTCAGATGAAGGAATAGGATTATCTTGGACAGGTAGCTACACTTGTAGAAAAATTGTATTTTTGTTATATTTTTAAGAAAAAATATAGAGGTCAACTTGAAACAGAATATTAAATATTAGTGGTCCCATTTAATAATATCAGGTACATGTATGTTTGTATATATATGTACACACACATACACACCTGGTTTAAAGAAACCAGGTTCAAAGCTTTGGACATCAAATCCTTAAGAAACTCATGGTCATGTTCATTAAACATCCATTGTGTGCAAAGCATCATCCTGGGCTTGAGGGGAGAAAGTAAAAGTGCTAGAAAGTAGAAAATAGTCACCATCCCTGGATTTAAGTACCATTTAAAGACACTGTTATCTATATAACTAAAGCCTTCAGAGACTCTTGTACAATTTACAAAAGAGGCTTGGGGCTCTTTTTGTTTTAAAGCCTATATGGAGAAAATGATGCAGTAGCCTGGGAAACTGGCTAATTCCCTTAGCAAGAACTGGAGAAGACATTCTTTACCCTTTCCTAGAGTCTACATGGTACTCCAGAAATCCCTCCATCTGACCAAAGGAGTTAATTAGGGATAAATTACATAAAGAAACAGCTCAGAAATAGAGAAAAAACAAGCAGGCAAGAGTTAAATACTATTTAAAGACCCTTATTTTATATTATAATTGATGATGTAGCATAAATGTCTGACTAAGAATTAGGAAGTGATGAATAAATCATTTTTCTTGAGTTTAGAAAATTTTCTAAACATATATTGCCATAAATGTCACCTTTCAGAATATAGAGATACAAGTACATGAACTGTGTGTCAGAGTAATGATCTATGCTTCAAATCGTGGAATTTACAGAAATAAATATACTCTCTTTTAGAGCTCGAAATGAGTTGCTAATACTATGTGGTTACATTGGTGCATTATTGGCTATCAGAAGGCAGTACCAAAGCATTGTTCCAGCGCTTTATGAGTACACGAGGTAAAAAAGGTTTTTTTCTTCCATCATGACATTAGAGCAATTTCTTTCACTAAGATGAATAGTCTCTAAGTGGATTATAGAAAGTATCAAATATGTTATTATAAGTATCATATATTTACTCAGCATGTGCTTTATAATAAAGCAGCACATAAATTCGGGATGCATTAGGTGTGAATAATAAAAATTCTGTTACTAGCTTAAATTCCTAGGGTTTATTGGTCTTTTATATCAAGACACTTGAGATAAGCATTCTAGGGTTGTTACTCCTGTGCAGTGATTTCATCAATGACCTGACACTCCCTTCTTTCCACTCTGACATTTTTGGATTATTTCCTCTTGCTTGAGTATCCACGGTTACAAGATAGATGCTAGCCCTCTATGAAATATGACTACATGCTAAGAAGGAAAAAGAGGTAAGAGTGAAAGATAGAGAGCACAAGGGACTTTTCCTGGCAAGACCATGTTATTCAGGAAGGAAAGTCCTCCTTAGGATTTTATGCCCACATCTCACTAAAAGAAAATAGGAAACTGGATGTTTTAGCTTTTCAATCTCTACAGCAGAAAAAGCAAAGTAAAGGGAGTTTTTGAGTAGCAGATTACTTACTATTTTAATATTTTATATTCAGTGATAACCTATTAGCCATACTCCCACATTTTCTAACAACTTGTTTAACTTCAGCCCTTGTACTTAAAACTTCTTATACTATAAAATAAATTCACAGCGCCTTCCATAAAAACGTACTTCCAAGTCTAGTAGTTAGCTTTGTGGCTTAGTAGGTGACCATTCTAACAATGCAGAGGTCTGTGGTTCAGCAGTTTCTGAGTTCATAGGTGGCAGGGGATTCTGAGAGAAACAGGCTTTCTCATTCCTAACTTCTCCCTATTGTGAAGGTGAAACACTAACTGTCACCTAGTGAAAATAAGGAATAATATGGAATTAATACTATCAGCATGCTCAGGGAAAAATCTCTTTCTACATAGGTGGCATAACCAAAATTGGAAAGATCATTTAACAATATTAAAAGATATTATAGGAGCAATAGGATATATCACATCGAAGTAAAATAATGAAGTATGTTCAGATATATATAATAATAAAAGTAAAGAGAAAAATTCTTAACTAAGCATTAAATTCATATCAAAAAGAAAAAGAATGGTTTTTATTTGCAAGGGAAGAGAGACCTGAGAGAATGTGACTAAGTTTAGGGAATGTGTTAGCTTAGAAAGAGAAATTAATAATGTCCTAATATTAAAGAATTTATCTTCTCTTACAATTCCATCTTTGTTTTCTTGCTGCTTATGGTTATTTTCCTAACCGACTAAAGATATGATTCCCCAAAGTTTCATTCTCTCCTCCTCTGCTTTCGTTTTTCCTCCTCTCCATCCCACTCTACTCCTGCGACTCCACACTCTCCCCTCTCCTTTCTATACTGTGTCCTTCAGAAACCTCACCACTTTTTAGCTTCACCTATCACCTCTATGGAAGTAACTCAGTGTTATTCAGGCAGAGCCTACTCTTCAAGCTCCTATGTGTATATTCAACAGTTTGCTAAACTCCAGCCTGAAAGTCTGTATGCTCAGAATTCAAATCATCTTTCTTCTCAAACCTACTCCTCCTGTGTTCTGTCATTCAAGATTAAATGATCAGGGTCATGGTTAAGTGTTCTCTCTCACTGTGGCATCAGGTGACTTGTCCAACCATTCTCTATACATTATGCAGTTCATTTATTCATCTACTCACTCAGTTACTCATCCACCCAATGTTTATTGGATAGCTTTGACTTGCCAGGGACTCTGCTAAATATACAGATAAGCATGTACATGCATATACTAGAAAATATCCTATATTATGTTATATATAATGTATAATCTCTGTATACAGAAATATATAAATCTAAAATCCCATTTAATGTTTGCTTTTTCTGATATCTTAGTTTTGGTATCATATGTTAATTTCTTCTTCACACATTCAGTCAGCTATTAAAACGTCGGGAGGTGTCAGTACCTTTAAAAATTGAATATCTTTCTGAGGAATTGGATGCATGGAGAGCTTGTACACAGTCCACCAACAGGTGAGTAAATATGATATAAAACTTGGAATGCAGAAGGTATTTGATGTTATACACAAACTTGTTGGAACTATACATGTTCTCATTATTAATTTTAGCAAATAATGAATCTTGATTTGGTTTGACATATATACAGCAATAATTTACAATGCCATACTTTTCTGCCATTAAGTTCCTTTGTTTTACTATAAATTAAGTCTAAAAGTCATTTGCCTTCATAAGTAAAGGGGAACTAAATAATCATCAGGAATAATTTCTAATCTAAACGTGAAAAATTCTATAATTCTACAAAATGAAATTTTGACATCTGTTGAAAATATAGATCATTAGAAGATTCTCCGTATACACCCCCTTCTGATTCACAAAGAATGGTTTATGCAACTTTATTAAAGAGACTAAAAGAAGAGTCACTGAAAGGAATTATTGGACCAGACTACGTCACTGGATCAAATCTTCCAAGTCATTCTGATATTCACATTTCTTGTCTTACAGGATTAAAAATCCAGGTAAAGCCTAATGTCAGGCATAACAGGTGTATTACACCATTTTCATTTGTTTACTTTTTCAAATGTTATCTTAAAATAAGCCTAATTTGGGTGAAAGTAGGTAATTTAGGACTGGGGCCCAGTAAGAAAATATTACCTGTAGTGCTTCCATAGTTAGTAACAAGTGACCTCTTTCTGCTTAAAATAAATTCAGATACAATCATTGTACTGACTGATACCATAGAAGCAATTCATGTCCTAAGTACACTTGGTAACAAATGATATGTATACTTTATAACAACCACGTTTGAAAATACATACAGGTCATATCCGGAGGGAAATAAATAAGGAAGACAAAGCAACAGTCAGCAACAGATGATTATATCACAGTAGACTACATTAACTTGCTAGTCACTATCCGTGATGAATAAATATGAAGTAATTTAAAACTGAGAGATGTATATTATATTGTTACTATAATGTGCATGTTCTTATGTTGAGTTATCGACCTTTTCAGCAATTAAAAATTATTGGAATCAATCATGAGGGATGTCTAATTGCCAAAGATTAGACAACAAATGTACAATCAAATTAATGATGATGAACGAGGCCAGAGCCTCCCAACAGGACCCAGGGGTGCCATTATCTCTAAGAAATAGAGAAGTCTTTATCATCTTAGAGCCAGGACTAGTTGTAGGTGTCTCCATGAACAAAACCAAATCCCCTGCAATGCAGATTGAGACTAGGTAGGCCGGGCGCGGTGGCTCAAGCCTGTAATCCCAGCACTTTGGGAGGCCGAGGCGGGTGGATCACGAGGTCAAGAGATCGAGACTAGGTATTAGACTAAAACATCCCCACCTCCCAATAATATACACATCTTATTGAAACAGATTCTTATGTATTTCTAATGTAATGTGAAAAGTTACATTACTGTAATGCTCACATGCTAGGCCAATGAAGAAGGTAGGTTTTGGCATAGCCACCCAAAATAAATGAAAAAGCTGGATACTGATATAAACCCTAACTATAGCTTAGCTTGCCACTGTAAGCTAGTTAAGTCTCAAAACGTAACGAGTATGTTCCAAAAGACAGGTCACAGAGTTTTATATACCTTTATTATCCATGTATGTTCAGAAATAAAGAACCAAATCAGGAAATTCAATAACTTTTAGTGAAGAACAAAAAACATCATGAAATTTTGGGGATATGTCATCAGTGCCATTCTCTGCCCTTCGTATACCATTTCTAGTACTTGGTCTCTTCACGTTTCTTTTCTCCATCTGACCTTGACCTAAAAGAAACATGAAGAGACCAAGTACTAGAAATGGTATACGAAGGGCAGAGAATGGCACTGATGACATATCCCCAAAATTTCATGATGTTTTTTGTTCTTCACTAAAAGTTATTGACTTTCCTAACTTCTTTGTAGCCAAACCCACATCCAGGAAAAGATCTACTAATTATCTCATATACACTGAGGCCCACATGACTGGTATAGATGGAGTCCTGTCCTGCTAGGATATTTCTATTTCAACAGAAAGTTGATGTGTTTAGGTTGCAATGGTGAAATTTCCAGTATCTACTAATAGGAAGCTGTCTACTCTACCTAGTCCTATAATGGGCTTTCCATTTTCTAGAAATAATTTGCTAACAAGTTGTATCATTTGAAATCAGACCCAGAACTCAACAGCTTTAGTACCTAATTAAGAAAACAAAATTTGTATTTTATTTTGGGTTTTTGAAATTATGCTTTTCCTTCTCAGAGCTAGGTAATATAGATTGAAAATGTTTCACATTTAGTTCTTTATAACAACCCTGGCATATATCATAAATGATGGAACTAAATTACAAATAAGCTAGAAAATCACCTGACTAATCATGTTTTAAGTTATACATACAACATAAAACAATATTCTTCATCTTCTGGAGAGCACATTTAAAGTTTCTGGCTTAAATAATTATCCCAGCTCTATTGACATAGGCTACATGATTAATATATTGAAATATATTTAAGCCTACTACTAGGCATACATGCTTTTATAGAAAAAGTAAACTTCGTGGCAATTACTAGATTAACAAAACGTATTTGTCATTGGAAGTACTATTGTATTTAAAGAGTTTAAATTAAAAAGAATTCTATTCTGACAGATATGAGGGTATAATGACAATGTTAAGACATTTAAAAATGTTTCTATATTTTGTTGCAGTTAAAAAAAACTAATTTTCTCATGTTACTAAATTTTTATTAGCATTGCCTACATATGATGGCTTTTTTTAACTGCAGTGATTCTCTTTTTGAAAGTTTAAAAATACTTTGCAAATTTGTAATCTCATCTTCTCTTTCCTCAACTCTCACTGTGTGCAGGGCCCTGTATTTTTTCTTGAAGATGGGAAATCTACTATCTCCTTGAATGATGCTTTGATGTGGGCAAAGGTGAATCCATTCTCACCGTTAGGGACTGGAATACGACTCAATCCATTCTGATAGAAGATATTTTTTCCATGCTTAATTTTTTTTAAAAAAGAAAAACTTTCATTGGTTAGTATTACCTTAATCTTGTTCAAGCACCAGAAGTTGGGAGGAGGATTGCAGGTTGGGAGATGCGGGAAATAAGTCAATTTTATTCTTTCACTTTAAAAATTAAAATATATATATAACTTAAAGGAAAAATAAATGCCTCCTTTATAAATAGCAATAGCTACGTTTGGGAAGGAGGAAACACTTAAACTATAAAGGACTGAATAAAAAGCATATAAAAGTTTCACACAGCATAAAAGCTACCAAAATATCATATTGTTGAAATATTGAAACAAATTAAATTGTGCGACACCTAGAATAGTGCTAGACATACGTTACATACTTAATGGATATTTGAATGAATATCTTGAAATATCAAAATATAAGGTGTACGCAATGATCATCAACTTAAACTTATGTTCTCCTTTATAAAATGCATAGTAAACTACTAACGTTAGCTATTTAATAAAAGTTTTCAATTATGAATTTAGTAAATATTAATAAATGGATACACAGTCAAAATACATTTTTAAAAAATTACTAGTTTTTTTATCTGAAGTTTAACTGTTCAATTGTAAAGGTGAAAGTTATATAGGCATGAAAAGAATTTAGGGTTAAAAATCACAAAATGCAGTCGACTATATATATGAAAACTTGCGTTAGGAGATAAAGTGAATATTTTAAGAGATTTGGCATGCATGGACATTAGTTTTGATTAATCCATATAATTGCACCGTATACTCTAGTCAATTTATATTAACTTTATTTAAAACACAATTTATTTGGCTGGGCGTGGTGGCTTACGCCTGTAATCCCAGCACTTTGGGAGGCCGAGGCTGGCGGATCACCTGAGGTCAGGAGTTTGAGACCAGCCTGGCCAACATGGTGAAACCCCGTCTCTACTGAAAATACAAAAATTAGCCAGACTTGGTGGCAGGCACCTGTAATCCCAGCCACTCAAGAGGCTGAGACAGGAGAATCACTTGAACCTGGGAAGCGGAGGTTGCAGTGAGCTGAGAACATGCCACTGCACTCCAGCCAGGGCAACAAAGAGTGAAACTCCATCTCAAAAAAAAAAAGGAAAAACAAACACACATGCAATTTATTTGATGAAAATTCGTTTTAAATAAATGTTTGTAAACAGATACTGGTTGAATTTTTAGATATGTCAATTTAACTTTTAAAAAGTTTTTTTTAAGTGCAAAGCTATGAAAAGGCTGATATGTGACTACATAAATTTCAGTTGGACTAGAATTCTGACTTTGAAACTTATTAAATTAATGCATACTAAAAGAACTTTGATACTCAAGTTGTTTTACGAGATTTGTAATATAGATGTTTTTGTCTGACTAAAGGGTAATCTCATATAACTAGAATATTTGTGGCTTTTATTATCTTTAAACTTGTTGCATTTAAAATGTTTTTAAAACCTTAACAAAACTTCTTAAAACTGGAAAAAAATATATATTATATATCTATGTATCATACTGATCACATAGACCACTTTTAATTCCCAAAAAGACATTACAAACTTAAATTCCATTTTATAAAAACCAGTAATAAATATTATAGAAGAGAATATATGTAACTCAGAGATGCAATGGATAATAAAAAGAGTACCTGAGAAGTATTTTTGTAAACTCTTATTAATATCCCTAACTTAAATTTTTCTCAGATGAGGAGGATTATTAACTGGCACCTATGTACTAAAAACCCCTCACTTAAAAATGGCAGTCTCAATCCTACTGTCATTGTTTTAAAATAAGCCTATCTTTTTTGTGCTTAAATACTTCAAAGGATATCATTAGGTATATAAACAATCATTACTTTCTTCTGTATTTTTAATGAATGTAGGAATATAATATTTTTATGCATACAAGATGAAAAAAATTTGCAAGTCTTTCAACACATAAATACAGTAGAAGAGCAACCCAATTTCTGTCTGATTTCTAAATTGGGTTGATCTGACCATCATTCTACTATCTTTGATTTCTACAATGTCTATATCTTATTAATTATAACTATTGGTTTTTCATAGAATTACGTCATTTGACACTGTCAATCTGTATATATTGTGCCTTAATATGAAAAACAAATTTTTTAATTTATAGAAGTATTTTATTAGATTTCATATGCATGAAACCCAAGCAAATAATATGAATTTATTTTACTATCTGAAAATGTTGATATTACCAATAATGGGGACAAATTACTTTGCAGATTTAAATATGCCTCTATAAAGGAAGAGTCTCATTAGACAGTGATTTGTAAAGCATTGGGAAAATATTTTGCCTGTAAAAGTTAGCAGTTACCACGTGGTTCACAAAATTACAACATCAAAATAGTTACATCTTGTGAAAATATATGATTTTAATGTCAATTAAGACAAATGAAATATATATGTATATATATGCACATGTATATATGAAATATGTGTATGTATGTGTATATACATATATTTCTGTGAAATTGTCCAGATATTCAGGAACATGATGGTATTGGAGCAATGACTGTATTGTGTTGTTCCTTATAACATTTATATGCTTTTGATTTTAAGTCAAAAGGTATTCTGAATATAAAGCCTCACAAATTATTTGTAAAATTTAGTGATTCATATTTAGTATATCAGTAATGTAGAAGACATCTTTATAGTCAGCTCTTAATGTTTATTGTACCAAATCTTTGAGATATCTGTACCTAAATGAAATATGTACTTTCATGCTAAAATTATATATCCTGTCTGTGCTATAATTTGGCCATGTCATTATCTAGATTTATATGTATGTATGTATTTCGGGTCCTTTAAATCTTAATAAATATTACTGTTACATTTCGATATGACATAGTTACTTGCTAAGATAAGCAGTCATCTGTTTTCCCAAAACACCATTGAAAGACCAGTGTTTCTCCATGAATGCTTGGATCAGAGTCATCAGAGGTGTGAAAGGGCTAAGCTGTCTGAGTTGTTACCCTACACAGTAACCTAGGAAAATCACTTCATTGAATTGTTCCAGAGGCTGATTCTCCACTTTAGAAACACGCACTACAATATACCCCAAAATCAGTATAAAATGGGGAAAATGCTTACTAATACAAATGCTATGTCATAGTAGCTTCTATTCCCACAAGCATTCTTTCTATTGAAAAGGTTAATTCATATAGTAGCCACTATAGCTCCTAGAAAATGTCATTGCTTCCTTCAGTCCAAGATTCTTTTTGAAGTAAATGTTTTTTTGAAGATATGCCTGTAGTGCTGGCTTCTATACACAACTCATCCTCGAGAAGCTCTTGACTACTTTGACTGTCCTTGCTATCTTCATTTACATAATCACTATGTAATGAAGCCCACAGACTATTTCGTATTTTCCACAGTCTCTATAGGTTCCACAGGATTCTTGGGCATTCACCATAGTCAGGCCTGAGTGTTTAGCTTTTTCAGGACATTGAACACAGGACCAAGGGGGACAAAGAAACTTATTATTTGACTCTTTACCCAAAACTCATCCTCTTTTCTGGATCTTCTTCATGGCTGAGCTTCAGAGACTTGTTTCTCAAACCCTTTCCAAAGAAACTATAAAGATTAAACAATTATTCTCATAATTTTGTGCTTTGGGTTGTCCCATGAGAATGTAAGGCAACAGATACGTTACTTATAGTTGTTTAAGAGATGCATTTGACCTAGATCTCTTACCTCAGATAAAACTGAATTTTGAACACATTCCCAATAAGTTACCTGTATCATCAGGGCTCTCTTAGTCTTCTTAAATAAATATTATCTATCTAAAAAGTAAAATTTAATAAGGACATCTCTCTGGAGGTAGAAGTGCTAATAAAACAGTCTGAACTTTCAAAAATGCAGAAAAACTGGTAAGTTTAGCTGGAAATTGATGTTAGTGATACTCATCTTGGAAGTCAAATGAGACTGTTAATGAGCTAGTATCAAAACATGAATAATACCAGTTAAAAATTTTCCACATATAAAATATAAAATTACCATAAATATATAAAAGATTATTAGTTTTTCAGAACATCAGTCTGCTTTTGTTTCCCTTCAGGTAGAATATGGGGCATAGAAGAAACCAGTGGGAACTTTTAAATTGAACTAAATATATTGCCAAATACCAGAACCAAATTCCAAGAAAAGTATGATTTTATTTCCCCACAGCTTGTTATCAGTAGGAGGGATGCCTATTTTTTTAATGGTTTAAGTTCAGGCTGTTCTTGGAGATGATCAAGATGTTCTATGGGCCAAAGTATAATAATCATTCAGAATAAAATTTAATAAATGTTATGTGTAAATATATAATAGGCAAAGCAGTAGCTTTTGATTTCTAGCAAGGAAAACATATTAAAAAGTAGATTCACCATTCCTACAAAATTAGGAGAAAGAACTCTTGCTCATCATGGTGAATTGTGTTTATATCTTTTAAATTATATTTGCTCATTCTGTATTAATTTATTTGATTTTGTATTTTCAACAGTGCCTGGCATAGATGTTGAATAAACAAATTGAATGGAAAAGAAATGTTCTTTAACATAATTATGGAAAAGGCACCACTCTAATTTATTTATTATTGAAACACACCCAAGACTAGGTGCTTCTGTTTCTTTAGTATGGTGAGAGATGGTGGCGTCACTTCTTCAAAGTCATTTGACAGGTGCTTTTCAAGGGTTCTTTTCCATATTTCTGATACGTTTCATAACAGTCATGAGAATGAGCTTGCTTCACGTGTATTTCTTTATGTGAATTCCCACCATTACCTATATTTGCTGGGACATTTAAATAAAATTAAAATCAATTCATGGTTATTAAATATTTATACAAGTATCAGCATACCTAATATAGCAAATCTATGCAGAATCATTGGCAACAGGTCAAAGCACAGTTAATCTGAATGCCTGGTAAACAAGAATATTTAAATCATGCGTTATAGTACTCATGGATAGAAAAAATCTGAATGTCAGCCACTTCCAAAAGTCATCAGCTGTACCTAAAAATATCCAGGGCATATTTTGGTGCATCTGATACTGAATATGACTCAACTATTCTTAGATATTGCTTCAGAAAGCAGCTGAGGCAACAGTGGCACAATTTTGTATTTAGATTTGACAAGTGTCCATGATTCATAACACAGTTTATGGAACTCTGATTACATGGAGGTATTCCAGCTAGCCACCCAGATTCTTTAGGTCACTCAGTTCTAATGGGAGGGGCCAGTGGCAACTAGGACATCTATATTCCCGGTGACCCATAATTTTTCTAGATACTAAGTTTGGGTAAACAAGTAGAGAACTTGAGTGTTATCAAAAGAAAAAAGCAAAGGTAACAACCTACCTTACAATTAATCTTGGCCACCCTATTTGATAATTAGAAGATCTTCGGGTGAACAGCCTATGATTTCACTGTCATTATATGCAATCTTAAATAGTAAAATCAAGTTAAATTCCTACAGTCTAGTGTTTTTGCATCTCCTCCTTCCATTGACTATCAAACTATGGTAGCTGACCTAAACTATTCACTCTGCTACCCTCTTAGAAACTGAAATGACGTCCTTTGAACAAATTTAGAAAAAATTATTTAATATTTAACAGTTCTCATCCATATAATTACCAAAGCTGAATTCACATCCTTCATTAATTTACTGTGTGCCTAGATTAAGAGAATCCAAATCATATCTGGAATAGGATTGAGACAAGTAAAAAAATAAATGTATGTTCACTTTCCCATCCTGATCTACCTTGTCCAGGGAAGGCTTCCATAAACCTGTCTCCTTTTCCAAGGAGAGTAAGACTATTGAGGGGAAAGCAAATCATAAAAGTGCATCCAGAGAATCATAAAAAAGAGCAGTAGAGAATAAAATGGGAGTAGTTATTTATGGCAGTTTATACATTATTAAAATTGTAAAAGCAGAAATTCATTTTACTTGGATTCCTGATCTGAAGCAATGATAGCATGCAGTTTTTCTAAAAACTTACATGTGAACCTTGAAGATTTTCAAAAACGATAACAGAAATGGGAAATACTCTTTAGCAGTTCAAATATCAACAGGCATCAGTTTTTGTCATTGGCCTATTTGCGTCTCCTTCTTACACAGGAAGGAAACCATGCTGTGACCCATGAATACTCCTTTCTACCTTTTCATTACAGGTCCCAAAGCAGGTGGGCATGCTCCTTTCCTTCCCTGGTGAAATTCAATTAATCATAAGGGAAACGAGGCAAGCATATGTTTCTAATAAGGAAAGCATATTAGAAAGTAGATTCATCGTTCCTACAAAATTGTGAGAAAGAACTCTTTACTCATCATGGTGAATGACTACAAAAACAAAATTCACCTGCAGTTTCCTTTCCATGCCTCCTGATCCCCTCCTCCCATCTCACCCCACCCTGGCTTCACCTCCCTCCCTGCTGGAACTTTCACCACAAATGTGGTGAAGGTTGAGACAAATTGAAGGAGAGGATGTAGTCCTACAATCAAAAGGTGAAACTATGGATGCATTTTACTCATTGAAACATTGCTATCCACTTCCGTTGGATTCTATTGTGCTTACTATAGCTCAGGTAGATGAAGAGTTAAAGGGGTTTTGATGGGCTGGCCTGATGTTTGGACATTTTAAAAGTATGCTCTAAGGAACTCTAGTTCTACAAGGCCATTAAGCAAAGCAAAACTAAACAGTGATGTGTGATCCGAGTTTGGAAAACGCTTCATTCTGCTCCTCTTCTGTTAGTATTTAAAATGCATATTAGCATATTAAAGATTCTGAGAAATCTAACTTTGTTTTTTTTTAAAAAAGAAACATTGGCACTGCTCTCAAGACTCCATGTAAACAAAGAATTTTATCCCCAGTGAAATCCCTCAACACTTCAGGAAACACAATCTATAGCAGAGGTCCACAAACATTTTCTATAACGGGCTGGAGAGTAAATATTTTAGGCTTTGTGGTAGGGTTGCCAGATAAAATATAGGACACCTAGTTAAATTTGAATTTCAGATGAATAATGAATAATTTTTAGTAAAAATGTGTCCTAAATATGTCCTCAAAGGTATTTGTTGCATTGCCCTGTGTTTTTATTTGCTAAATCTGGCAACTCAGCTTTCTAGGCTAGACAGTCTCTTTGGCAACTAGTCAACCCTGCTGTTGTAGGGTCAAAGCAACCAGAAGTAAGGCATATAATGAGCAGAAGCGGCTGTGTTCCCTGTCATTTATGAGTATGGGAACTTGAATTTCATAGCATTTTTTTGGTCAGGGATTACTATTTTATTTTTATTTATTTTTTTTGAGAGGGAGTTTCACTCGTGTTGCCCAGGCTGGAGTACAACAGCCCAATCTCAGCTCACTGCAATATCCACCTCCCTGGTTCAAGTGATTCTCCTGCCTCAGCCTCTTGAGTAGCTGGGATTACAGGCTCCTATCACCACACCCAGCTAATTTTTTGTATTTTTAGTACAGATGGGGTTTCACCATATTGGCCAGGCTGGTCTCGAACTCCTGACCTCAGGTAATCCACCCACCTCGGCCTCCTGACATGCTTCGATTACAGTCGTGAGCCAGTGCACCCGGCTTGATATATATATGTTTTATTAAATCCTAGCACTTAGGGAGGCCAAGGTGGGCAGATTGCCTGAGTTCAGGAATTTGAGACCAGCCTGGGCCACACAGTGAAACCCCATCTCTACTAAAGTACAAAAAAGTAACCAGGCATGCCAGCATGCCCCTGTAGTCCCAGCTACTTGGGAGGCTGAGGCAGGAGAATCGCTTGAACCTGGGAAGTTGTAATTTCAGTGAACCGAGATCACTACACTGCACTCCAGGCTGGGCAACAGAGCAAGACTGTCTCAA